CCCTAACCAACAAAAGTTTTACCAACGAAAGTGCAGTGTTGACATAGTGTCAGCATGCAGGTGGGGCCTTCCCCTCCAATGCCCTGTCCCGGCCGGTGCCGTGTACGTTTTAAGAGTTTTTAAAATCATTATTATTTTATGTTGTGTATGTGGGGGAGGAGGGGTTTCCTGGTAGTCAAGGGGCCTTCTCAGATGCGGGCCCAGTGGAAGTGCACAGTGGTTAATCTGGGCCTCGGAGTAGGTATTTCATTCAGCAGTACCTGGATAAATTTGAATCCCAGATCACTATAATATCTTATACAAGACACTGTGACCTAATATAATATAAAGTTAACAATAAATGCAATAAATTCATGTAATATTAAAATACATCAATATCTGATTTATACAGCTATAAATCAGAAAATTACTAGATGAGATTGCCTAAATTTCTGTTCTCTGTCTCTCTTCCAACTCACTCCTTTATCATCTTTAATTCTTTCTCCTAGGATTTGGAGGATGGCCTGGACTGCACCCTCAGCAAGTTTGCAGATGACACTAAACTGGGAGGAGTGGTAGATACGCTGGAGGGTAGGGATAGGATACAGAGGGACCTAGACAAATTAGAGGACTGGACCAAAAGAAATCTGATGAGGTTCAACAAGGACAAGTGCAGAGTCCTGCACTTAGGACAGAAGAATCCCATGCACTGCTACAGACTAGGGACTGAATAGCTAGGCAGCAGTTCTGCGGAAAAGGACCTAGGGGTTACGGTGGACGAGAAGTTGGATACGAGTCAACAGTGTGCCCTTGTTGTCAAGAAGGCTAACGGCATTTTGGGCTGTATAAGTAGGGGCATTGCCAGCAGATCGAGGGACATGATCATTCCCCTCTGTTCAACATTGATGAGGCGTCATCTGGAGTACTGTGTCCAGTTTTGGGCCCCACACTACAAGAAGGATGTGGAAAAATTGGAGAGAGTCCAGCGGAGGGCAACAAAAATAATTAGGGGGCTGGAGCACATGACTTATGAGGAGAGGCTGAGAGAACTGGGATTGTTTATTCTGCAGAAGAGAAGAGTGAGGTGGGATTTGATAGCTACTTTCAACTACCTGAAGGGGAGTTCCAAAGAGGATGGATCTAGACTGTTCTCAGTGGTACCAGATGGCAGAACAAGGAGTAATGGTCTCAAGTTGCAGTGAGGGAGGTTTAGGTTGGAGGTTAGGAAAAACTTTTTCACTAGGAGGGTGGTGAAGCACTGGAATGGGTTACCTAGCGAGGTGGTGGAATCTCCTTCCCTAGAAGTTTTCCAAGTCAGGCTTGACAAAGCCCTGGCTGGGATGATTTAGTTGGGCATTGGTCCTGCTTTGAGCAGGGGGTTGGACTAGATGACCTCCTGAGGTCCCTTCCAACCCTGATATTCTATGTTTCTAAAGATGCCTTGATCCTGCATAGCCTAGGTTCCACAGAGATTTATCCATATGTGGACAAATAATTGTGGAACCTAGACTATGTGGTATTTTATTCCACAATTACGTAATACTGAACCTACAAGAAACTTACACCAGTTAGGCTGCTGGTGTGCTGAGACTATTGGCTGTCTTACTGACCAATATTGTCTCATTGGTTCCTGCTGTTCCCCCCAGTAGTCTGTCTTTATCCATCTGTTGTCTCTTGTTTTATACTTAACGTGTAAACTCTTTGAGGCAGGAGTATTTTGGTTCTGTTTGTACAGCACCTAGCACAACAGGATCCTGGGCCATGACTGAGACTTCTGGGTGCTACAGTAAACCAAATAATGAAGAAGAATAATGACATTATTTGACAAAAATGGATTAATTATGGGGAGGTACAAAAACATTTCACACACAAGTTGTAGTGTAGTATCAGTAACACTCTACCAAATTCACAGCTGTGAAAAATACATGAAAACTGGTCTCCCTTGTAAAATCTGGTCTTTTGTATACTTTTACCCTCCTATACTATACAGATTTCACAGGGGAGACCAGTGTTCCTCAAACTGGGGGTCCTGACCCAAAAATGGGTTGGGCGGGGGGGGAGGTGTCATGGTATTGTCATCTTAACTTCCATGCTGCCTTCAGAGTTGGGTGCCTGGAGAACGGCCGCTACTGGCCAGGTGCAAAGCTCTGAAGGCAGCACCCCACCAGCAGCAGTGCAGAAGTCAGGGTGGCAATACCATACCATGCCACCCTGACTTCTGCGCTGCTGCCTTCAGAGCTGGGTGGCCTGAAAGTGGTGGCAGCTGGCCAAGGGCCCAGCTCTGAAGGCAGCAGTGCAGAAGTAAGGGTAGCAGTATCACAACCCCCTTACAATAACCCAATGACACCGCCTGCACAACCTCCTTTGGGTCAGGACCCCTACAGTTACAACTAGAGCCCTGCACAGATACACAGAGTCGCGGACCCTCCACCTGCCCTCGGCCAGGCAGGGAGCCTGGGTGTCGGCAACATGGCCGGAGGCTGCTCTCAGTCCCATCCTGCACTGCAGGCAGGTGGAGGGTCCATCATGGCTCCCCACAGCTGCCCGCCTGGCTCTTACCCTGGCTTGGCTGTGGCTCCAAGCCACACCCCCTGCCCTTCCCCCCCCCCCCCTTGCCGGCCAAAGCTGGGCTGGGGAGAGCCGCGCTGGCAGCAGTGGGGAGCCGCGACAGATCTGCTACCTGCCCTGGGTAGGGAGCCCGAGCAGCCCCCGGTTCATGTCCCTGCTCCCCACTCAGGGCAGGTGGAGGGACCCAGGCTCCCCACAACTGCCAGCGTGGCTCTCTCCGACTCGGCTTGGGGTAGCTCGGAGCTGGAGCCTGGCCATGGTAAGAGCTAGGCGGGTGGCTGTGGGGAGCTGCGGCAGACCTTCTACTGTTAAACCAATAAAATAAAAACCATCAGGATCTTATTAAAGGGGAAAAGGCAAAATGCCACATTTATTGTGAATACAGAAAGAATCATAGTAAGCAGTTAGTTATAGCTATAACATTTCATTCAATTTCATATTTATTCACACATTCATTCATACACACACACACAGGTTCTGCAAGGTTATCATCACAGTTTCCAGCCTTAGAGTTGCTCATGCCCGGTGGCCTGGACATGATGAGGGAGCAGGGCTTTGTCAGATGCTCATCTGATGCTCCTGGAAGTTGGTTTGCAGAATCAGACCCCAAGGTTCTCACTTTCTAGAGTCCATTTTTATGGGAATTTCTTCCTATGCCAGTCTATGGGAATTGCTTCATCAAGCTGTTGCTGAAGTAATCAGTAGATGGCACATTCCTGACAGCTCCGTGCTGCCAGATGTTATCTTGTTCTTTGGTTCTCCCATTCTTGAGGCTGCTGCGTGGATTCCAGTCTGCCCTCCGGGGGTCCTCTGGTTATTTCCACTTGACGCCTTCTTCAGCCGATGGACACTGGATTCTTAGGCTGGCACCTCCCTGATGATTCAGTTATTATCCACACACATCCTCTATCTCTATTTTAATCACAATTGTTAACAAAGTGAGATGAATACAACAAAAGGGCGGGGAGTCTCTGGGTGCTGTTTCTGTTGTTACAGAGTATTGCTTTGAGTCTCTCTCTGTCTGAGTAGTTGTTGTTACAAAGAATTGCTTTGAGAACAGACCCTGATTTAGAATGTACTAACACAATTAGTAGTTTGCAAGTTTCGCACATAGAAGGAGAGAAACAGTACCAAAAACCAAGAGACCTCTTAATTAGTAATACCCTGGAATTTAAACTGCGGGGAATCAAACTCATTTGTGATTTTAATACAGAACTTCTTTAATATACATCCGAAGAAGTGAGCTGTAGCTCACGAAAGCTTATGCTCAAATAAATTTATTAGTCTCTAAGGTGCCACAAGTACTCCTTTTCTTTTTGCGAATACAGACTAACACGGCTGCTACTCTGAAACCTGTTAATATAATCCAACGCTTCCTGCCTTGGCCCTGAGGCCCAAGCAGCCTCAGACCCATGTCCCTGCCCACCATGTCCCCCAACCAGGGCAGGTGGAGGATCCACACCGGTTCCTCAGAGCTGCCCGCCGGGCTCTTACCATCAGAGCCCTGCATGGATACAAAATTTGTATCCGCATCCGCGCTGCTATCTGCAGAAATGGTCCACGGCTATAAAGCGGATACACATAGATTTGCTAGGCTCTTGATACAACACTGAATTTTCAGATTTTAATATCTGAAATTTAGTATTTTTAAAATCTTATGACCCTAAAATTGACCAAAATGGTAGGCTCTAATTATCAGATTATACAGGCAGATTGAAATTATAATATTAGTCAGTATAGCACAGGAGGTTGCTTTACCCTCCCCCATATCTCTACATGCGCTCAGTTTTTCTAAACACCATTTCTGAGCCAGCCCTTACTTAGCAGGGAGATTTCGGAAACTTTCTGTGTTTCAGCGTCAGAAGAGTTTTCAGGAACTTAAAATTTTTTTTTCAATGGGCAGCAGAACCCCCACAGCAGGGTCAGTGAGGGCTTAACTGTCTCCCAGAAATGCTAGGTTTTTCATTATCCAATCAAGACATTTCATTGATTAGTCCCACCCGTCATTTTAGGGCTTGGCCAAGTGGTTTCAATAGACTTATAATCAGGGATCTGTACCTGTAGCCCACTAGTACCTCTGCGGCCTGTTTGGCCAGGCTGTGTGACAGCTCATAGCAGTTTCTCAGGCTGGTTGCTCTAGGAGGCACATGAATCCATTCCTCACCAGACCAGGCCTATGAAAAGCCAGGCTGCATGGGGCTCAGTAATGAAACAGCCCTGGCTGGCCCACCTCAGCCAACTAGGGCTGTAAAAATGTGTTGTGCGCGCTGGGGCCTCTCAGGCTGTAACCCTTCCCCCTGCGGCCGGGTCCCAGAGCTCAGCCGCAGCCTGAATGTCTACACTGCAGTTTTACAGCCCGGAGCCCCGCCCAGCTGACGGGGCCAGCCCGGCTGCTCCCTTGCAGTGTAGCCACACCCGGACAATTCCGCCCCCGCGCTGAGTCTCCCACTGACGTCAAGGGGAGCTTGGCCCCTCCTGGGCAGCGAGGGAACCGCGAGCGCTGCGGGCTGCCTCGCCCAGAGCTGCGCTGGCTCCTCCGGGCTCCAGGTGGCGCTGTGGGGCAGCCCGAGGCAGCCAGTGTGTGGCTAGAGCGGAGCCCCGTCGGCATCCGGATCCCCCGCCCCCCGCATATGGAAGGAAGCGGCGCGCGTAGGCCCGAGACCCCGATGGCGCTGAAGGAGGGTGCCGCTGCCTCCAGGGAGCTGCTGTCCGTGGGGAGCGGAGGAGGTAGCCGGTCCCGAGCCGCCACGTCCCCGGGCTGGGGAGGGAGGAAGCATCCGCCTGCGGGCAAGAAGCGGAGGGGGGAGGCTGGGCACGGGCGGGGGAGAGGGGGAAGCGGCGCCTGGCGGGAGGCGGTTTGCTCGCGCGCGCGGCTGCCCCCCACCAAGTCTTAGCGACGAGCGGGCCGGGAGCGCAGCCTGTGAGCAGCGCGCGCGCGCGCGGCCTGCGTGGCAGCTGTTGCGCAAGCCGCGGCCACGCGGCACCACCCTGGTTCAGCTTGATCGGCAGACGGCCGTTAGGTGGGGGAGGGGCAGGGTGCCGAGAGCCCAGCTGGTTCGGGGCCGGAAGGTCACGGTTTCCGCTCGAACCCCGCCCCGCCCCCATGAATCTCTCACAGCGCCCCAGGGCGCCTGCGCGGGCCCTGGAGACGGCAAAGCACCAGGCTCGCGCTGGCCCTTTCAGCGGCACCCCCTGCGGCTCTGGGAAGTGGGCCCGGCTGTTTGGGGGAGGGGAGGCGAGGCGAGGCTGCACCACTTCCTGGGAAGCCGCTGAGCCCAGAACTGACCCATCCTGACTAGCGCTGCGGGAGGGTGGGTTTATTTTTTTGCGGGGGGGGGAGCGAGTAGTAAGTTTCCTCCCAAATGCATTCTTTGGGGGGCGCCCAAACTAGTCACAGATGTTGGGCCGAATTTGGCAAACGGTTTTGGCCAGAAACGTAAAAAAGCTCTGAAAACAAAATTTTGGGCAGTGTTGAAATGATTGGGTTTTGAAAGTGTCAGAACAACCTATTTTGACATTTCGTTTTCAATCAGTATTTTCTAAACGAAATGTTGAGTCCAATCAAGAATTTTCAGGTTTTCATATTGGGAAGAAGAGTTGGGGAAAAAACAGTTTTCATAGAATTGTTGGTGACACCGGTTGCTACACTAGGTAACTCGGGAGGGTTGAAGACCACGAGTGTCGATGAAGCCCTCTTGCTCTAGGCCCAGATAAACTGAGGCCCCTTTGTTCCTTGAACCCTCTGTGATCCTGCATAACTCTGAGGAAGCTAGCACACAAACAGACAGGTTTGCACATGGCTCGCCAGCCAAGGCCAGCTTCAGCCTGGGAAACATATAGATAAGGCAGAAATGTTTAGCAAAAACCTGTAACAAATAGGACCAAATAAGGCAAGGCTCGGGCAATGCTATTGAGGAAAAACACAACTGGCTGCTTTAGCTGATTGGCTATGGTATTGTACGGGGCAACAGGTAATTGGTTGTATAAGCTTGTGTAGTGAAGTAGGCAAAGGTATAAAATGTATACTGGAATTTGCTGCGCTGCTGCAGGATTTGAGACAGCTCAGTCTCCCTGCGCCCTATTTGGAGCTCCAAATAAATCTCTCTGCTTCTCCACCGCGTTGTGGTCACTGGCGCGACACACACCGGCAACGAACCCAGCTGTTGCTTCCCTCGGGCACTCTGTGCCGGCAACAGAATCATGGGTCTGGAAGAGACCTCGAGAGGTCATGTAGTCCAATCCCCTGCACTCCAGGCAGGACTAAGCTGTGGCTACCCTGGAAACTTCAAAGTGCTGTTGCGGGAGCGCTCCTGCGGTAGCGCTTTGAAGTGCGAGTGAGGTCATGCGAAGCGCTGGGAGACAGGTCTCCCAGCGCTTCTGGTAATCCACCTCCATGAGGGGATTAGCTTTGGGAGCATGGCTCCCAGCACTTGGAGCCTGTCTACACTGGTGGTTTAAAGCGCTCAGACTTGCTGCGCTCAGGGGGTGATTTTTCACCCCCCTGAGCCAGCAAGTTAGAGTGCTATAAAATATAAGCGTACACAAGCCCTAAATATTATTTAGACCAGGGGTCGGCAACCTTTCAGAAGTGGTGGGCCGAGTCTTCATTTATTCACTCTAATTTAAGGTTTCATGTGCCAGTAATACATTTTAACATTTTTAGAAGGTCTCTTTCTATAAGTCCATAATATATAACTAAACTATTGTTGTATGTAAAGTAAATAAGGTTTTTAAAATGTTTTAAGAAGCTTCATTTAAAATTAAAATGCAGAGGCCCCCGGACTGGTGGCCAGGACCCGGGCAGTGTGAGTGCCATTGCAAATCAGCTTGCATGCCGCCTTTGGCACGCGTGCCATAGGTTGCCTACCCCTGACCTAAACCATCCCTGACAGGTGTTTGTCCAACTTGCCCTTAAAAATCCCCAATGATAGAGATTCCACAACCTCCCTAGGCAATTTATTGCAGTGCTTAACCACCCCGACAGTAAGTTTTTCCTAATGTCCAACCTAAAGCTCCCTTGCTGCAATTTAAGCCCATTGCTTCTTGTCCTATCCTCAGAGGTTAAGAAGCACGATTTTTCTCCGTCCTCCTTGTAACAACCTTTTATGTACTTGAAAACTGTTATCATGTCCCCGCTCAGTCTTCTCTTCTCCAGACTATACAAACCCAATTTTTTAAATCTTCCCTCATAGGTCATGTTTTCTAGACCTTTAATCAATTTTGTTGCTCTTCTCTGGACTTTCTCCAATTTGTTACACCTTCTTGTCAACTGTTTGAAATGGGCCACCTTGATTACATTGAACTCATTAGCACTACAAAAGTGATTTTTGCTCCCTTCTTGTCAACTGTTGAGAATAGCACACTTCCACCTTAATTGAATTGGATCATTAGCAGTGACCCCCCACTTGGCAAGGCCACTCCCATCTTTTCATATGCTGTGTATTATACCTCTCTACTGTATTTTCCTTTCCATGCATCTGATGAAGTCGGTTTTAGCCCACGAAAGCTTATGCCCAAGTAAATTTGTTAGTCTCTAGGGTTCCATAAGGACTCGTGTTTGCTGATACAGACTACACGGCTACCACTCTGAAACCTGAAATGTGGCTCCCAGAACTGGACACAATACTCCAGTTGAGGCCTAATCAGCGCGGAGTAGAGCGGAAGAATTATTTCTCGTGTCTTGCTTAAAACACTCTGGCTAATATATCCCAGAATGATGTTTGCTTTTTTTGCAACAGCATTACACTGTTGACTCATATTTAGCTTGTGATCCACTTATGACCCCCAGATCCCTTTCCGCAGTACTCCTTCCTAGGCAGTTATTTCCCATTTTGTATGTGTGCAACTGATTGTTCCTCCCTAAGTGTAGTACTGTGCATTTGTCCTTATTGAATTTCATCCTATTTACTTCAGACCATTTCTCCAGTTTGTCCAGATCATTTTGAATTTTAATCCTATCTTCCAAAGCACTTGCAACCCTTCTCAGCTTGGTATCGTCTGCAGACTTTATAAGTGTACTCTCTATGCCATTATCTAAATCGTTGATGAAGATATTGAACAGAACCGGACCCAGAATCGATTCCTGTGGGACCCCACTCGTTATGCCCTTCCAGCATGACTGTGAACCACTGATAACTATTCTCTGAGAATGATTTTCCAACCAGTTATGCACCAGTTTTGGTTTGAAACTAACTGATCTTTTTAAAATAATTTTTCGGTTTGACTACCTGGTAGAAAAATCAGTTATTCCTGCAGATCTAATGCTGAGCCTCCCTAGCTTGTGGGACCTCTGATGAGATTCGCAGCCCAAGGCACTATGCATACATATTATTTTCATGCAAAGGCTTTTCTGTTAATCCCTACATATGTTCCGAAGGGGGACAAGTTACCTATTCCTAGTATTGCTGATGTAATGCTAAGTAAATAAGAGAGAAATTACTACGGATATACTATAATGCCAGAACTCTAAAGGACAAAACTAGAAGGGAACTGAATGTTTTCAAACTTCTGATAAGGTAAAAAAATCATCCTAAAATAAACACTTTTAAAAGTCTCACTTTAATTAGTGATATGTAATTCCCTTGAAATTGGTCATCCTGTTTGCTGCATTGAGAGTTGACTAGTTAAATTGTCCAACTAATGAAAATTTTCTTAAATTCTCTGCTTTCTGGTGCAAATCTTGGGAAATATCTAAATAAGGGAGCTAGTATCACATTGGTAAATAGTGAAATAACTGATGTAATTTTTCTTTGTAGGTATTCATGACACACTGTTGATAAACTCAAAACATGCCAGCAAAAAGGTCACAAGTTTAGAGACAGTTCGGATACCAAGGAGTAACAGTAAGTGCATCTTTTCCAAATGGGACTATGCTGATCACTGTTTAAGTTGCTTTGTGAGCTTGAAAAGCACATAACCATGACTATACCTAACGTTAATATATCCTACTGCTGAAGCAGTTAGCATTCGAAAATCAATTAACTGTATAAGTTTTAAATAGTTTTAAACCTATTTTTGCTACTTGTGAATCTGCAAATCTCTCTCTTGCGGTTGCCAATATGGATGTTTCCCCCGCTATTTATGTTGGAGCTTGAAACTAACTAGGCTTTATTTTACTCACCAGATAAAATGGGCACAGTTGGCAGAATATTTCTCATGTAGTTAACTGACTCATCCTGCAGAGGGAGCACAAAACATTAATTCTGCACAAGTTTTTTGTAAACATTTGGCATTTTAGGGCCTAATGCTACAAACCCGCGCTGGTGTGAGAGGGAGGATTTCTGTATGTAGAGGGCTTGCAAGATTGAACCTCTGGTGTTGTATTTCAAAGTAGTGTAAAATGGACTTCTAATATTGAAATTACTTTCTTAACCTCACTTTTTAAAAGAATACTGTCAAAATCAATAAGCCAGATTACTCATTTATCTATTCAGTGATCTCTTTGAATGGCTTCAGAAAAGGTATTTTTCTGCACTTGATCCATGTGCCTTGTCCCCTAATCAAAGACAGAGTTAACTGGCAGTGTTGTCTGATTATGGTATGAAGTGACACATCTTCAGGATTTTTATTCTTTTCATGGAAGACAAGTTATTAGCGATTTCTTAGCCTTGGGTTGCATTTGCTTAGTGTGCAAAGGGCTTCTACTTTTTCATATAACCATTCTAATCTCTATATTCAAAACCAGTTTGGTAGTATAAAGTATTGTACACTAGTATATCTTTTTTTAAATGATCATTCCTTTTTAATATTTCAAAATTATTTTAAACTTGTGAGAGGATAAAGGAGGCAATATGGAGTTCTTTCTTTGACAGAACTCTTTGGGGAGAGTCAGCGTGGCATAAAGTAGTAGTTTCTAAGGCACTTTACTGGAGTTGAATCAGAATAGTGCAGCCTTACTACAAAGTGAAACGTAGTTTCAGTGAAAAATAAACACTAGACGCTAGATCATCTCCTGATGCAAGAGAGGGAAAAGGCTATTTGAAAAAAGTGTGGAAGTATAATGAGTTAATCTGTGACTGGAAGGGTTGACTCATCCATGGAGGGGACATGGCCATGACCCACAAAGAGCAAAGATGTCCCATCATTGGTGGGAAATGCCATGGACCTTGGAGACATCCCTGCAAAACACCAGCTCCTTCATGCTGTTACCTACACTGCCTATCCACCTATGCTGCCTTCTTGGCAGCATAACACACTTGGTAGAAAGCTGCTTCTGAGGTTGCTTTTTCCTGTCATCCGCACAGCTTTCTTGACAGTTGTGCCATCACTGACCCCCCCTCCCCCATCTTCTCTTGGACCCTGCCCCTTTACTCCAAGAGGGGAGAAGGTAAGGTACAGTACTTCACAGGAACTTGAATATTGACGTGGAGCATCCTGAGTATTTCATTTTTTTGGTGTGTGTTTAAAACAATAGAATTTTTCTATGAAGCGTCTGTTGGACTTGCCATATTTTAGTTTTTTGAAAAGGTCAAATACAAGCCATGACATGACTCCCTTAGTGAACCATTTGGACTGATGCATAAAATCTATGATATTCTGCACTGTATGTGCCATGGAAAGTTGAGCAATCTGGTCAATAAAGTAGTAACTTTATTCCCCAGATGAATTGTTAAATATTGTACACAACTTGAAAGTTCAAAATTAAAACAGTTAAATCCTGTGTTAATGAGATACTCATGTCTTTGTACTGCAAAATCTAAATATGCATATATGCTATAATCTCACTATTTCTACCTTAGTTTTGGACAGAGTTCAGAGCTTTCTACCGCAGATGGCCCTTGCAAACAATGAGCTAAGAAGAGAAATGGCAACAGCACCAGCTCATCAGTTTGATATTGAAAATCTAGACAGCTGCCTTGAAAACATTATAGAGATGGTAAATGTATTTCTTGTGTTTTGCTTTTGTAAAGTAAATTTAGTGCTGTGGTGTAAAACTCTTCACTCAGTCTTAGAATGGGTTTGTTTGAAAAATAAAGCTTTTTTCCTCCTTTACATTCCTTTATAATTTTGATCTGAAATTAGCCATAAATTTAAAGCAAAGTATGCTACTTGCTCTTCATGACATAGTAATCTTGTCCACCACTGAAACTTGAAGATAAACAACTAGAGATAAAGTAGTTTAAGCCCAGAATATGAGCTGTCTCTAATCTAAAGCTCTAATCCTGACAGAGTAACTTTTGTAATTAAAAATTTAAATAGATTGTTTTTTTTGTTTTCAAAGTAAGCTGACTTTTAATGAATTGTAATTTAAGATTGTATAGTAAGTAACAATAACAAGTGTTCTGTTTTGTTTAAGGGACACTTTTAAATAGTTTAAGGCCCAAAATCTAGGTCTCGAGCATGTCAAGTATAACAAAACTTAAAAACCTTAATTATGATCTCTCAAATTTTATTGGAAACTCTTGTATTTATTTCAATGTCTCTCTCCAGTGTTTTAACTGAAATTATGCAGCATTATGCTAATGACTGAGAACCTCAAAGAGAAACTGATTATATCCAAAACATGAAAATAGCTTAGTCTATTTTCACTATCTAGGCTGAGACAATTATGAAATGTAAATAGTGGAAGAGTGAATTAGATTCTGAAAATTGTTTTTTAAAAATCTAATGTGAAATTAGTAGAACAAGTAAGGGAGCTTTTATTTTAATAATTGTCTGTTTACAGATGTGTCGATGAAAAGTTTAGTCATAGAGTTTAAGGCCAGAAGGGACCACTAGATCATCTAGTCTGACCTCTTGTATATTACAGGCCAATCAACATCACCCAGCACCCACACACTACACCCAACCATCATATTTAAAGTATTGCAACCCACCGGAGATTATTAGCCTATTATGTCTCTCTCCCCTCCCCCCCCCTCCACACACACACACACACACACAGTAGGAGGGACCAAGGTGCACCAGTGCTCGAGGTCCCCACGTCAGGGAAATGATTGAGATATACCCAGACAATCCTGGCAAGCGACCTGCACCCCACAAACTGCCGAGGAAGGAAACCCTCCTGCCCCAAGGTCACTGCCATTCTGATCTGGGGGGGAAATTCCTTCCTGACCCGACCTCACATATGACGAGCCGCTAGACCCTGAACATGCGAGCAAGAACCATCCAGCCAACCATCTGAGAGAGAATACTTTGTGCTGCCTCAGAGTCCTGGTTTACCCCTCTTGGTGTCCCATGTCCAGCCATGGCCATCCCTGCTTCAGAGGAAGAAGATAAAAGAACCCTTCCAGAATACATTGCGGGGGGAGGGGGAATCCCTTCCTGACCCTTGCAGATGGCAGGCTGGAACACAAGCATGACCTTCAGGAATTTAAGACATAAACCAGAAGTGAGCCCCAGACCTACTGTACCCTGCCCCCTACCAGCATGAGCAATCCCATCATGTAACCACACTCATAAATTTGCCCAGCTCTCTCTCAAAATTAATTAATTTGTTTGCCCCCACAACTCTAATTGGGAGGCTCTTCCAGAACCTCACTCCTCTGATGGTTACAAACCTTCTAATTTCAAGCCTAAATTTGTTAATGGCAGGTTTATATCTATTTGTTCTTGTGCCTACATCGTCCTTTAGTTCAAATAGCTCTTCACCCTCCCTGGTATTTAGCCCCCTAATGCAGCGGTTCTCAAGCAGGGGTCTGGGGGACGCGAGCAGGTTTCAGGGGGACCGCCAAGCTGGGCCAGCATTAGACTTGCTGGGGCCCAGAGCAGGAAGCCGAAGCCCCCCACAAGAAAGTCGAAGCTTTGAGCCCCGCCACCTGGGGCTGAAGCTGAAGCCTGAGTAACGTAGCTTTGCGGGAGCCCCTATGGCATGAGGCCCCAGGCAGTTGCCCTGCTTGCTACCCCCTAATGCTGGCCCTGGCCTTTCTATGCAGAAAACTAGTTATTGTGGTACAAGTGGGCTGTGGAGTTTTTATAGCGTGGGGGGAGGGGGGCAGAGGAGGGAGCACATCACAAAGAAAAAGGTTGCGAACGCCTGCACTAGTATATTTGTAGAGAGCAGCCATATCCCCTCTCAGCCCACTTTTTGCCAGGCTAAACAAACCAAGCTCTTCCAGTCTCCTCTCATCAGATAGGCCCTTCATTCCCCTGATGATTCTAGTAGCTCTTCTCCATTTCTCTTCCAGTTTAAATTTATCTTTCTTGAACATGACTGACCAGAATTGTACACATAACTCCAAATGATGTCTTACCAGTGCCTTGTACAATGGCATTAATACTTCTCTATCTATTGGAAAACCCTCACCCGATACATTCTACAGTTGCCTTTTTCACAGTGCATCACGTTCATGGCTCATAATCATCCTGTGATCAACCCGTACTTTCGGGTCTCTTTCCTCTGTCGCTTCTAGCTGATAATCCCGTCTTGTAATAGAAATTACTATTAGACCCTAAGTGCATGATGCTGCACTTAGAACGATTGAATTTCACCCCATTTCTGTTATTCCAGTCTTCAGGGTCATCCATATCTTTCTGTATAATGTTTTAATAGCAATAAACAGAAAGCACAAGTCAAAAGGTCTTATGGTTACAGTACTGCTTGCAAGTAATTCAGTAAATTTATTAACAGTTCAGCTTTCTTATGACTGATCTCACCTTGCAGGTTTTGTTTGTTTTGTTTTTTACTTGGGGTGAGCTGGACCTAAAACAACAGCTTTGGTCAGGTGCAAAGTTTTCGTACTTGTCAAAAATCGTATACAGCTTCACAGGTTGAAATATGATCCTTTTTTTTATTAGGGCTGTCAAGCGATTAAACAGATAAATTGTGCGATTAAACAATAATAGAATACCATTTATTTAAATATTTTTGGATGTTTTCTACATTTTCAAATATATTGATTTCAATTACAACACAGAATACAAAGTGTACAGTACTCACTTTATATTTTTGATTACAAGTTAAAAAAAAGAAATATACCTAATGCAAGTACTATAGTGTAATCTCTATCATGAAAGTTAAACTTTCAAATGTAGAATTACGTTAAAAAAAACCCCTACATTCAAAAATAAAATATAAATTTTAGAGCTTGCAAGTCCACTCAGTCCCACTTCTTGTTCAGCCAATCGCTCAGACAAACAAGTTTGTTTACATTTGCAAGAGATAATGCTGCCTGCTTCGTGTTTACAATGTCACCTGAAAGTGAGAACAGGTGTTTTCGTGGCACTGTTGTAGCCGGCGTTGCAAGATATTTACGTTCCTCAGGCACATAAAGATTTATATGTCCCTTCATGTTTCAACCATCATTCCAGGGGACATGCGTCCATACTGATAACGTGTTCTGCTTGATAACCATCCAAAGCAGTGTGGACCGACACATGTTCATTTTCATTATCTGAGTCAGATGCCACCAGCAGGTGGTTGATTTTCTTTTTTGGTGGTTCAGGTTCTGTAGTTTCCGCATCAGAGTGTTGCTCTGTTAAGACTCCTGAAAGTATGCTCTACATCTCGTCTGTCTCAGATTTTGGAAGGCACTTCAGATTCTTAAACCGTGGGTTGAGTGCTGTAGCTATCTTTAGAAATTTCACATTGGTACCTTCTTTGTGTTTTGTGAAATCTGCAGTGAAAATGTTCTTAAAACAAACAATATGTGCTGGGTCATCATCCGAGACTGCTATAACATGAAATATACGGCAGAATGCAGGTAAAACGGAGCAGGGGACATACGATCCTCCCCCAAGGAGTTCAGTCACAAATTTAATTACCGCATTTTTTTTAACAGGAGTTATCAGCATGGAAGCTTGTCCTCTGGAATGGTGGCCGAAGCATGAAGGGGCATACAGATGTTTAGCATATCTGGCACATAAATAGCTTGCAACGCCATCTGCATAAGTGCTATGCAAATGGCTGTTCTCACTTTCTGGTGACCACCTAAATAAGAGCATTATCTTCTGTAAATGTAAACAAACTTGTTTGTCTTAGTGATTGGCTGAACAAGAAGTAGGATTGAGTGGACTTGTAGGCTCTGAAGTTTTACATTGTTTTGGTTTTGAGTGCAATTATGTAACAAATCTACTTTGAAAGTTGCACTTTCATAACAGATTGCACTACATACTTTTATGAGGAATTGAAAATACTATTTATCATTTTTACAGTACAAATATTTGTAAAAAAATATGCTTTGATTTCAAAAACACAACTATATATATGAAAATGTAGAAAAACATCCAAAATATTTAATAAATTGGCATGCTATTGTTTAACTGTGCAATTAAAACTGTGATTAATTGTGATTAACTGATTAATCGACAGCCCTCGTTTTTTTGTTTAGAAAATATTCTGATTGTCTTGAACACTTGTCATCCACAGTCACAGCTGTACCACTGATAACGTTAAACTGTTATATGACATGAATTACATTAGCAAAAAGAGACAGCACCCTGAAAATTATATTTTCAGACTTGGATTTTTGTCTAAATTATCCAGCCTTTTGCTCCCTTCATTTGTCAATTTAAACCAGAAGGCTTCACTTTAGACAAAGTAAATTAATCAATGTACCATTCTCTTTTTGCTTCCCGAGAATTATTTAAAAAGAACTATTACTTTATTACTGAGCACTGTAGGTACTTAGACTGTATAAACTCATTTTTCGTATTTAAACTTTCATGTTTATAGTGATCTCTAAAAAACTTGCAAATATTTCCAGTCTACTGAGGTCTACTTTTTTTTTTTTGCATAGCACATAATTGCTGACTTTATGGTAAGGATGTTCATGTGTATTAAGGTCCTGTTTTGTTTTGTTTTTTGTTTTTTTTTAAACAAAAATCATAAAAGCAATATGTAGATATATGGGTTGTTCATTTTTTAAAAGCACCGTTGTTTCTTGCAGAATGTAGCCTTGGTTGAATTAAGTGGTTCTGACACCGATGAAGAAATAATTTCAGAAGACAGCTCAGAATCTGAAGAGGACAGTTGTGCAACTGATGAAGTTACCATAGACACCATTAAACTTCCAAAACAAAAAGGAGAAAAGGGCAAAATAGAAATTTTGGACAGCAAAGTGAATGAGTAGATAAAACTATTTTCAGATTTCCATTTCTGAATGTATCATGTGTCCTGACTACTGTGACCCTTAGAAAACTAGCTAATTTCCAAGTGTGTGTCACCTGGAAACTGGCTAACTGCCAGTCACTTATGTCACTGGAAGTACTGTGTTTAGTAGGGTGGAGAGTTTCTTATGGCTGAGAGGAAAGCTGGAGCTCTTAATCCTAAGACCTGACCTGACCTATCCCCCAAGCTATATAGAAATGAGTTCCATCAGGAGGTCAGGGTAGGGAAGAAACAGCATGAAACTTAGTAATTTGAGAGGTTGCACTGTAAAGCTAGGCAAGAAGTGTGAAGTTCTTGGCCTGTTTTGAGGTGAAGAAAGGATTACTAGGGTGTGCGGTTACTTACTTCAGGAGAGGGAAATAATTAGATAGGAGGAAGACAAAGCTTGTGTTCTGAGATGGGAATAAGATGTGTTAAGATACTCAAGTATTATATACTTGTCTTCACTACCAAATACTAAAGATGAGCACACAGTGCTTCAAGAGTTAAATCTAAGGAAATATGCCTAATTTATTCTTGTCTCCTTAATTTTATAGGGAGGGGCTATTTTACTGTATTTAGTTTAGTCAAGTTTTGCTTTCAAATGATGTATCTCAATGCCTTTGTAGATTATAAGTTGTTTCTCAAAGAAACAGTATTTTGTAAATAATTTAAGGTTATATTCTTACTGTATTTACTTAGCTACAGAAGATTGACTAGCAAGCGGCAGTTAAGCACAGGATTTAAAATGTGTTATTTAAACTTATATTTTTCTTCTCTGTTTTCATTAAAGATAACTGTTTGGAACATTTGATCAAGATAATGATCAATACCATTTCTAGTCTTTGTTGAAGAGCATGTCTTCTTTTATCTTTCTTTATTAATAGGAAAAATAAAATCTTACTAGCATCAATTGCTATTGTGATTCAATTTATGGCTAAATTATTAGTCCAAAGCAGGTCCTTTGACTCATGTTGCTAGTAATCAATCTTTCTGAAAAGCAGCAGCACTTGGGATATGGGCTGTATAAAGACACAGTACTGAGATGATTAGTTTCCACTTATTAATTATAGTACATTAGAATTAAACTGTTTAAACAGTTTAAAATCTGGAGGGGACCTGGCCTAAGATGTGACACTGGACTACTAATGTCACACGTTACTTTAACACTGCTTCCCCCTGAAAGGAGATTTAGACATGCCAGTTTTACTCAGCACAACTACTTAATGACCCATATCTATACACATTATTCCTTGTGTCTCTGGCTATTGTATCAAAAAACCTCCTAAATATCTGTCAACTGACAAAATCCAAAGCGGTTGGGGAACTAGTATGGTTGTCTGTTGAAGGTACTGTTTCTATGGTAAATAAAACACTGTAAGATACCTTTATTTGGATAGCCTGGATACTGTTCTTTATACTGAGGTTTGCAGTGGCATCTTTATAGACTAATATTACTCAATTGTATTTCAAATACACTTTGTCTACAAGCAAAGTGAAGGAATTACGCTGTGATTTAATAGTACATTGCACAAGGTGGATACAGCTTGTTTATAATGTCACACTTCATAAACCTTGCTTAATGGGTGTGTAAACTGTGTCCAGAACTGAATGTTTAACTTTCTTGACCATGTTGATGTGCTTGGTAAATTGAAGGTAAAAATTGTCTTGTGGCTAGACTACTTTTACTACAAAAACATATTCCACATTAACTTGAGTCTAACTTTGGGCTATTCAAGTAGGAAAATAATTACATAGAGCTCACAAATAGATAATTTTGTTCCTGTGATACCAGCTAGAGATGAGCAAAAAAAAAATTGTTTTTTTTGGTTTGGTAACTGAACTGGAAAAAAACAACAAAATTGGTTCATTTCTAACTGACACAATTTGTGTTTTTTCTTGCCAAAACAAAAAAGTTTTGAGTCCATTCTAATTTACACTTTGAAACAGTTTGTTTAGACTTTAAATATTTTCCTTTTTTCTTTTAAAGGAAGGGAAAAAAACCCAGCTGCAACTGTTTGCTAAATTTACACATGGCTTTGGTCTCACCAAAACTGTAGTTTTCAGGAAACTTACTGTTCACTGAAAAAACTTCACCAGGCTGTAATACCTGTTTTCAGAAGGTGCATACATTTGGCACACTGTTCAGCTGATCTCAAACTCATTAAAATATTGGCTGTAAGATGCTGTAGCTTTGTGGAACAGTAGTTTCTCTTAAAATGTTTCTTGGAGTACAGAATGTGCAAAGTTATGTTCATTATCTTGAAAAATGCTTGGTCATTATGTCAGATATCCTTTATATTTAGTACTTGATAAGTGTAAAATATGGTTTACTGTCTTATGCCATAATCTTGCATTAAATGCTCCTTGAGGTAAAGTGAGTGCATGTAACGTATGTGGCATAATTACTTCACAATAGTGATAGACATACACAGATACAGCTGGTTTAAATCTATTAATATAACCACCATTCACAGTCCCATACAAATTGCACATTCCACATTCACAAAAAGATAGAATATATTTTCAATAACTTCAGCTTAATATTCATAGTTTAACAAAGATCGTAGTAAGTGCACTTTCTTGAATTTATTTCCATTTTATGGCACTAAGGTTTCCTTTACTGCTGAAAAGTCAGAGCTGTATACTTTTGTTGAAAAACTTGAACTGTTTTATAACAAAACTGTATAATATGCATTTTAAAGTACATTTTAAGAGAAGCTTAATGACTAAATGTATGTTAAAAGGTTTAAAATGATTGTGTAAAATACATCTCATAATAAAAAATTTAGGCACATCATGGGCCCAATCCTTCAGTCTTACATAAGCAATCTCCCATTGTCCAAGTTAAGAACAACTCGGAAGGTTTAGATATCTAAAGACCAAATTTTAGTTCTACTAAAGTAAGTTGCCAAACTCCTTGTGACTTTAGTGGGGCTAGAATTTGGTCCTTAATATTTTCCATGGATAAATATGATTTGCTTTTTGTTAGTGGTATTACTTCAGAGAATATATCCTGGGCATTGTATTAAGTGCTTAACAGAATACTTAAAATTGAGGCTGTCAGCAAGGGGTTTGCTTTGGCAGTCAAGCTGAGCTGTTTCTTTAATACTCCACAGTTACAGCTTTAGTTCTGAGGTACTCATGAAGAGCTTCTTCACCTATGGAAGATCAAAATGTGAAGGAGTTATATCACCAGTTTAAAGGAATAGTCAGAAGACTTAGTTTTAACCACTGAGCAAGCCACAGTTCAGAATTCCTGTTAAGTGCTTAGGTATTTTGCATTAGCATGTTGCAATAGCTTGTGGCCAAGGAATTACTATGTATTGTTTTTTTTTAATAAATAGATTGAATGTATTTTAAAATACCCAACTCCCTCTTATCCCATTCACTCTACTGAAGTAAATTAAACTCTTTTGAAGCTGAAAAAAATCACTTTAGCAATAATGCAATATATCATAATCTGATGTCTATCTATTATAGCACCAAAACACTGTCCTATCCACTTTAGAAATTCCCCTGAAAAGCTTCTCCCGTCACATACCCCTCCCCAAGACATTTTGGAGTTGCAGCTTTCCCTCTGCCATGTACATGGACCAGACCGGACAGTCTCTACACAAACGAATACATGGACACAGATCAGACATCAAGAATTATTCAAAAACCAGTTGGAGAACACTTCAATCTCCCTGGATACTCAATAACAGACTTAAAAGTGGCAATTCTTCAACAAAAAAACTACAAAAACAGACTCCAATGAGAAACTGCGAACTGGAATTAATTTGCAAACTGGACACCATCAAATTAGGCCTGAATAAAGACTGGGAGGGGATGAGTCACTATAAAAACAAATTTTCCCCATACTAATTTCCCCCTACTGTTACACCTTCTTGTCAATTGTTTGAAATGGGCCACCCTGTTTACATTGGCCTCATTACCACTACAAAAAAGTGATTTTTCCTCCCTTGGTATTCTACTGTTGAGAATAGCCCACTTCCACTTTAATTTAATTGACTCGTTAGCACTTACCTCCCACTTGGTAAAGCAACTCCATCTTTTCATGTACTGTGTCTATATACCTGCCTACTGGTTTTTTCCACTCCATGCATCTGATGAAGTGGGTTTTAGCCCACGAAAGCTTATGCCCAAATACATTTGTTAGTCTCTAAGGTGCCACAAGTCCTCCTCGTTGTTTTAACTTTCCTAAGGTGCATTATAATGGGGCTACTTCCTGTGAAAATTTAGCGTGTCTGCAGCAACCCTTCTTATCCCCTTTGCACCTTGTAAGGTCCCCAGGAACTAAGTCAAGACCTCCTGTAGTGCACTTGCCTCTCTGACTGAAATCTTACATTCTTGAGTTTTGCCTAAAGGTGAATGTTTCTGGAAAGTCTGACCACAATTGGACTAGCTAACCTTAGTGGGGAAATAGATTGCTTTATGCTTAAAAAAACAGAAAATAAAAACTGACACCCGCCCCCGACCCTCCAAAAAGAACACCCCACAACAGCAGCAAATTGACATGTGAGATTCTTAAAAAACACCTCAAGCTTAGTAATAATACCATTGTAAGTAGGATGGATTATTAACATGATTTTTTTTATTTGCAGAAGAGGGTCATTTATCTTTTTGCTCAAAATATTTTCTATGACAGACTCCCTGCTGTATCCAATATAAATTTGACCTGCTATATAAATATTAACACCTTCATACTTGGTATTCTATGGCTATGTTTAAGTGAGATACTAAATAAACCAAAGTTGGGCTTCTAAATCCATATTTATTTAGGCACCTGCCTAGTTTTTCAAAAGTGCTGGGCACTCAACCACTCCCACTGAGGTATTTTTGAAAATCATCTATCTCCTTTAAAAGTCAAAAAGATCGAGGAATTCAGAGTTATTAGATTTAGAAAGCTATGGAATACGGAAAAGTGTATGGAATAGTTTGGGAGAAATAGCCCCATAATTTGTTGGGAAAAGTCAGTCTCAAAGATGTGAGAATGTTAATGGCAGTGAGAGGATTATGTAGAGAAGTGTCATGTATGTGTATGTTAGGGGTATGCAGAAACATGAGTCAATGGAAACTGATACTGGGGGCCACTGCATGAACATATAGCCACATTACCTATAAGTAGAGAGGGGTTTTTATTAAAAGATATGCAGGTGGGCAGGGTGCCTGAAGGTGAATGGAAGCCAAAAGTAAGCTTCAGCACTAGTATGGGTCAGGCACACACAATGTAAGATCCTTGGGTAATCAATTCTTAAGTCTGATTTCCTGTCTAGTGATTTTTTTAGTAATATTAGTCCCAATGTTAGTTTAACTACCTTCTTAACGTTGTTATTGTGTGTCTAATCTGCCAAATAAAATCTGGTTTTGATTTTAAGCCAGTCTGAAATGAAGTGAGTTTTGAAAATGTTAGATAGGGGAGTTTCTAACAGGGGACTGGAGGGAGACAGGAGCTTCAGTGTATGCTGAGGTCTGGAAGAGACCACAGTCAGTTTCCTTGAATCATGTCAAACAATGGCTGGTGAGAACCAACCAACCAGAAAACCACTGAACAAAGATAATTCCCATGACGGTTGTGATGCATTTGGAGTTGCCCATTGAGGATTTATTATATGCAGGGGCGGCAGGTTTGTATAATTTTTGGTGGTGCCCAGAACCCGCCCCTGCCCAAACTCCACCCCCCACCTGCCAAAGGCTCTGGGAGGGAGTTTGGGTGGGGGAGGAGGTCTAGGGTGCAGGCCCTAGGCTAGGGCAGGGGATTGGGGTGCAGGATGCAGGTTCTGGGAGGGAGTTTGGGGATGGGAGGGGGTGCAGAGGTGAGGTATGTGGGCTGGGGTATGGCTGCAGATGAGGGGTTTGGGGTGTGGGAGGGGCTCAGGGAGAGAGTAGGGGGTGAGGGCTCTGGGGCTGGGAATGAGGGGTTTGGGGTATGGGAGGGGCTCAGGGTGAGAGTAGGAGTGTGGGGGGCGAGGGCTCTGGGGCTGGGGGGCTTGGAGTGTTAGAGAGACTCAGGGCTGGGGCAGAGGGCTCTGACTGGGACTGGGGATAAGGTGTTTGGGGTGCTGGAGGGGCTCAGGGCTCTGTCTGAGACGAGATGAACAGTTGTGGTGTTGGAGAGGCTCAGGGCTAAGGCAGGGGGTTGGAGTGCAGGGGGATGAGGGCTCTGGCTGGGACTGGGGATAAGTGTTTGGGGTGCTGGAGGGGCTCAGGGCTAGGATAGAGGGTTGGGGGTGCGGTGGGGGGGTGAAAGCTCTGGCTGGGGGTGTGGGCTCTGGGGTGGGGCAGGGCTGGGGATGAGTTTGGGGTGCAGGCAGGCTGCTCCGGGACAGGGGAGGAGGAGGACTCCCCCCAGCCCTTTCCCTGCCGGCAGCAGCGAGCTCTGGGGGAGGAGCCCCCCTTTCCCGTCCCCCCCCCCGCAGCAGCACACTCACTCCCACCACTGTCACTGCATGTGCTCCTAGGGCCTCTCTCAGGTCCAGGAATCTCCCTCGCTTCCCCCATGGTGGGTGCCAGGGGATGCTGCGTGTGCCTCCTCCCCTGCTGTTGCCCCTGACTGTAGCCTCACTGGGGGTGAGGGATGGGGCTGCCTCCTTGCCCAGCATGGGGCAGCAGCGGTGACTGCAGGCGGAGGGTCCCTCCGGAAAAGGAAGGGTCTGAGGTGGAAGGGCAGGCTCAGAGTCAGTCTGCCGTGGCAATGGATGGGGGGCACTAGGACACTGCAGCAGCAGTTGCTGCAGGGAGGCAGCATGCAGCTGCACTGAAGAGGCAGGAACACTGGTGCGTGGGGGCAGCAAGGGGAGGCTGGGGGACACTCGTAGGAGGCGTGGGGTGGCAGCAAATGGGCCGGGGGCGGGGGGACACCCAGCTGGGCCCCTAGGCTCTGAATATTGCTGGTGCCAAGACACCACGGGCCCATATAACTCGCCACTTATGATTATATGAATGCTGTATGTTCGCCTGGTTACTGGATGTTTACTGCATGAGGGCTGTCTGGAATACAGGCAGAAAAGAGGGGATGGCTCTAGGTAGAAACCTATCAACTGACACGGAAGAGTCACTGACGGACTATGTCAGAATCATTGGGTCTAAAAACTGTTTGAAAAAGGAATACATTAATGTGAACTAGGTACCTTTTAGTTCACACCAGCAGTGTCCATGGGGTAATTAGCAGTGCAGTGTAGATGAGCCATTAGGGGGGTGTTTGAAGAAGTTAGGACTACTATTAGGGGATGGTATGCCTTTAGGTAGGGTAGACATGCTATGTAGACTCTATTTTTATAATCCTTTTTCTCTAATACATTTGTTCTCCAACTAAAATAAACACTTTGGTTAAGGAAGGCTGTCTGATTACTGTATGCCACTGATCACCGACTCCCAAATGGAAGAATTGTAGGTGTCCAAATTCAGTTGGACCTGCTGGGTGAGCACAGTTGATACAAGGGGGCACTGTAAGCCAGAGTCTGGTTGAAGAATAGAACTGCAAAATTCCACCTTGAGATAGGTAAAGGCATGAGGCCTGACACCTGAGAGGGTACACTCAAACCAGGAAGGGGTCACAGAGATGCCATTAGCCTTCTAGCTGACAACAGTGTTATTTCTTAAATTTTTCCTTGCTATTTTTTAAGTGTAAATCTTGATCTATCAGGACTTTTATGGGCTTTTTTTCTCCTGTGATAGAAACTGGACAAGGCTTTAAAAAAAAAAAAATTGGTTTAGACCATCCGTTTTGGGGGGGGGGGGGTTGAAACCAAACTACTTACCTAAATCTTTTCCGAAGCCAGATTGTTTGAATCCACCAAATGGTGCTGCCACATCAGTTTTGTTATATGTGTTAATGAAAACTGTTCCTGCTTCTAGATTTTCACTAACGTACAGAGCTTTGCTTAGGTCTCTTGTGAAAACCCCTGAAGCTAAGCCATATTCTGTGTTGTTTGCACGTTTTAACACTCCATCGACATCCCTATAATAATAGTAATAAAAAAAATCATTCGGCTTCATTGACAGTAAGTGAAACATAACAGAGACCCTGACGTAACAACCAACCTCCCTCTAGCTGCGGTGCAGCAACTTCTTCCCACACCCTTTTTCTTTCTAATCCCTATTTAGCTGTTTTGAAAACATAACTATGAAGTACTAGTCTACTGTTAGTCAGTCAGAAATATGAAAAAATTCACAGTATTGTCTCTAATTTATACAGTTTGTAAATTAGACTGCAGAATGCTTAAGGTTTATACCAAAAAACCTCAAACAAAATATTGTATTATACGTGTCAGCTTTGTGCAGCTCCAGTGGAATTCAGGGAATGAAGAAGTGCAAAAACGTCTACAAAGCAGAACTCTACAGCATAACATTAATTTTTGCTAAAATTAGCCTTAACTCCCATTTTGTTGGGGAATAAATTCTTAAAAATCCAAAGACTTCCATGTAATAAATAAACCTTTTCATGCCATTTTCACTGTGCTCATTTCTATTTGTACCTTATCCCTAAACGGCTTTAAATATCCTAAGTTGTTTCCAAAAATTGAATACATTTTATCATAGGCGCTGACTTTTCCTTTTCCCTGGGGGTGCTCCACCCCACTCTGCCCCAGGCCCTACCCCCAAGCCCTGCCTTCGCTCCACCTCTTCCCACCCCTGCTCCACCCTCTCCCCGGAAGCCCTGCCCTCGCTCTGCCCCCACCCACAAGGCCTCCCATGCTCTGCCTTTTCCTGCCCCCACTCTGCTCCGCCCACCCGCCCCTCACTGGTCTCTGCCCTCTCCCAGCCCCTCCCCCAGCTGGCAAACAGCTGTGGCCAGTGAGTGATGAGCACCCACTGTTTTTTTCCTGTGAGTGCTCCAGCCTCAGAACAACCATGGAGTCGGCATCTAATTAGCTTGATTTAACAACCTTTTAACGTGGCAGTTCACAGATTGAGAGTGTGTTCTATTTAGTCAAAAGCTTAATACTGTATTTTCAAACTAGAAAAATTAAGGCCCCTGGAAATAATTCCATTAAGTTTATACAGTGTTCTCCCCCTGCTCCCCCCACCCGGCTGAAGCTCACCCCAGTAAATTTCATTCCAGATCACTAAGGCTACGTCTGCACTACACAGCACTGGCAGCAGCACGTAGCATATATGTAGCAACATGCCACAGTGAAAAGCGGGCTGTGTCCACACTGTTGGAGAGAGGAGGCAGCTCCCTGCTGCAGGAGCCTTTCACTGTGGTTAGGAAAGGCTCTGACGGGGGCAGGGCATGGGCAAACCCCCCTGCTAGAGTCTTTCCCTGCTGCTGGAATCTTTTTCTGTGACAGGGAAAGGCTCCAGCAGTGGGGAGACAGCGGGACACTACACTGCTAAAACAGCAGTGCAGACAGGGAGACATGGCTTGCGGTGAGTAGAAAACTATGTAGGGTGTGTACTTGAGTACATACCCATACCCTTAAGACGTGGCTTTACTCGCCTAAAGCGTGCCTCACAGTCTACACTGCTACTTATACTGGTGCTAGGTGGCTACCCATGTATGTACTCTACATGCCACTGAAAAAAAGCATACAGTGTAGACATACTCTAGTAAACTGGTCCACAAACTAAACACAGGGATTGTCTCACCCCTTACTGGAATGTACCCACTTTTGGAACAAAATACAGTCGTAGTTAAACAGCACACAGTAATGTGACACAACAAACAGTTTGTAACAAAGAAGAGTAACTGAGCCACCAGAATCTGCAGGGGGAACTGAGATACCGTAGGAAGAACGTAAGTTTTGTAGCTTGGTTAGGACACTGCATTTAACTACCCTTACTTTGCAAAAAGTGCCACTGGCTATTTAATCTCATGTAAAAGATGATGCCGCCAGCAATGTAGTGTCCCTTACCATCCTGCTGTAGCTTTGGTTCTGTGGCAACTGAGAAGAGCAGTCTGTACTAAATGCTATCTTTTACACCTATCTGTTCCTTAGAGGCAGAGGAGAAAGTAAGCCGGTACGGTCTGGTATGGTGTACCGGCAAGAGCCAGTACGCCATGCCAGACCGGACTGGCTTCCCCAGGCTGCCACTTTAAAGGGCCCAGGGCTCCCCTCAGCGGCCAGAGCCCTGGGCCCTTTAAAGCGCCGCCGGAGCCCTGCCGCCGCTACTCGAGGGGCTCTGGCAGCGGGGCTTGGGGAGCACTTTAAAGGCCCCGGGGTTCCCCGCAATGGCCAGAACCCCATGCCCTTTAAAGTGCTCCCCGAGCCCCACTGCCGGAGCCCCGGGGTGGCAGCGGCAGGGCTCTGGCAGTGATTTAAAGGGCCCAGAGCTCCGCTGCGGTAGCTGGAGCCCAGGGCCCTTTAAATCACCCCGATCCCTGGGGCTCCCAGCCGTCTCTGCAGCTGGCAGCTCTGGGAGTGATTTAAAGGCCCTGGGGCTCCCAGCCGCAGTCGGTGCCCTGGGGCCTTTAAATCTTGATTTAAAGAGCTTGGGTATTTAAAGGCCCCGCCTCTTCCGGTCAAGGCCACACCCCCTGCTCAGGACTCCAGCGTACCGGTAAGTCCTTTAAGTTACTTTCACCCCTGCTTAGAGGATTCCTATCACCACAATGTCTCAGCGTGACCTTATGAGATTTGGCAGGATCACAGCACAAGGTGAAAGTGATGAAGTAAAACAAAATGCTATTATTTAAAATAGAACAGAACGTACCCATTCTTAAACTTTGAAATTACCATAATAGGACCAAAGGATTCTTCCTGGGCAAGGTACATATGGTCTTCAACATCTGTAAATACAGTGGGTTCCATGAAGAAACCTAAACAGAGGACACAGATAGGGCATCATTTGCATGCAAGTAAAATATTTTTTTAGTTTGTATTCTCTCCTTTTCTACCTACACAGTACCACACTCTGTTTTCCATATTCTGAGCTAAGTATTGTATAAGCCTAAGCAGCAGATGTAAATATCCACTCTAAATTTTCTTTAGAGAAAGAAAACCAGTATGTACAGACACTTTCACACCAGAAGTTCTATTTTGCTAGAGGTACAGGCCAGGTGTACAAAGGGAAAGGTTTGCTGTTACAGATATATCAACAAACTCTCCTAGTCAAGATTCAGTTTGTACCAGCAAAAAAGTGCTTTTGCTGGAATAAGTTATGCCATTCCCTGAACAAAATAAGCTATGCTGGCAAAAGTCATTTTTAATCGGTATAACTGTATCTACACTAGGGCTTTTGCCACTATAAAACTATCGCCAAAAAAAAAATCACCAAAAACCCCCATCCCTCACCGATGTTACTATGCTGGCAAAAGTTTTTAGTGTAGACCTGACCTAAGTCTCAATTTAGTTTCTGGTGTGTCAGCTGCACAACTTCTATTAATGCTATATGGGAGCTGTGCCATGAAAGTCCTATGTATCAAGTGAGGACTATTCCCCTTAGTCTCTATATGAAAGCCAGTACTAGCAAAGAAATATTGTACAACAGGCTGAGTTTCTCCTTACATGTAAATATTTGAAGAGTTCTTCAGTATGAGCCATCTCTTTCTTCCAGGTCTTTATGCCAAGTGATTTTCTCCAGGACACTGACACCCTACTTTATTTAGGTATACTTCATAGAGTCCTCTACCTTGGTGGCAGTGGGAAAGATACCATGTAGCTGTCCTTCAGCTCATGTTGTACTGTATTTCCATGAGTTTATTCCTCTTTGTGCTACACAACAGAGGGAACCATGTGGGCTTTTATTTAAAAATGTAAAAATTCAAAACATCTCCAGGTAGTATTTTACCTGGTCTACATACTTGTCTTCCTCCGTACACTAATGTCGCTCCTTCTTTCACTCCAATTTCACAATATTCCAGCAGCTTTTCCAGATGAGCCTTGTGATTCTGTGGACCGTGATCTGTTGCTCTATCGAGTGGGTCACCAATTTTCATCTTTTTGATTTCTTCCACCTACAGGTTACCCAATTAAAATGAAAAGTTACATAGTATGACACACTGGCCAATTTTTTTTTAAGTGACTAGTGACTATAGTACTTCAGTGTTGGGGTGCCCAAGTTTAAGACCCCTTGAAGGGACCCAATTTTCAGAAGGAGTACTTAACACTTTCTGAAAAGCAGGCTTTTAAGCTGTTTCAAGTTGGGCACCCAAAATCACTAGTCACTTTTGAAAATCTTGACCACTGTTTTTAGTTATTTATTTTTAAATTTCTTCTGCTACTGTGTCTGGCATTGAGAATGTCATTGTTTACTTAAGTTAACATAGTGTGGTAAACAAGATACTGAAGTTATTTCCTAGTCTAAATAGCAATAAATAACTGAGTTTTCACACAGCAGTGTTGAAATTTTAATGGTGAACATTAGATACTCTTGTATGATCCCTGCTATACTTCCAATCTTACCATATTTTTTTCCCATATTCACAGTGGTCTTAAGTTTCATGGATACAAATTTGGCAATTTTTGCTTACCCAAATGTAGAGATATAGTTGATAGGATAACGTCTCTTTATAAGTGTGTCACTTCTCACTGCATTTCTTGGGCAAGTGTCTCCTATTTGCACACCCTTTTCATTGCTTCATGATAGGAATCATGATTTCCCAGCGTCAGCAGCGATTGAAAGTTTAAATAACTTGCATGATACATAAACTTGTGTGTGTGTGTGTATAAAATGACTTGATCTTCGCTTTACATTGTTACTGCAGAATTTATTTTGAACATGAGCCCTTTAAATATCTTACCACTCTCCTAACAAATTCATCGTGAACTGATTCTTCCACAAACAGTCTGCCAGCTGCAATGCAGTTTTCTCCCTTGTTGAAGTATACTGCTCCCATGCCCTGTGTCAGAAGAAAACACTATACTGATACTTGGTTTTATTAATTTCCCACTCCAGCTATTCCCTGGGGCTACATTCTTTTTTTTCTCCTATGGATGGATCCATCCATGTATAGAACTCTTCTTTAAAAGGGCAATATCAGCATAAAACTCATTGAAAAAATAAAAATGTTTTCTTACCTCTGGGGTAAATCCTACTCTTCTTCCCTCTACCTTCTCAACATAAACACGTGCATGAACAGAGATGGCCCTGGATGCAGTGGAGCTGCTGTGGGTGGAGGCAGGATTTAGGGAGGTGCACACTCCCTGCACACTGTTGAGCGAAGCTCCATAGAGACACTGTGCAGCATCATGGAAAAGGAGTTTGGAAGCAAGGCTGATGAATACACAACTCTGCTGATCCACTCCCCTTATGGAGGGCTATGAGAGCAGTCACAGCATGTGACCCAGTGGAGAAGTATGTGTTCCCATCCTGTCAAATGCACAAAGAACCTCCCCTACATCAAGCCTATGGACTCAGGCCTCATGGAGGAGGGACAATTTGCCCCTGTTACTAACCAGTGACCATCAGAAAACTTTAAAAGAAAACGTGTTTTTTTAATGGGAAAAAATACTTTCATGAAAAAATTTGTTTCCATTCTCTGACTGGCTCTCGCACTATCTCAGGTGATCAAACCATAAAGAGATTTTCAAAATTCAATTTGCTTTTCATAGTGCATGCTGTTCTCCTCCCCTCCCCCCCTTTAACTCTTCCTGGACAATAAAAAATGGATTGGAGAGTCAGCTTCACTGTTTTGTATTTCATGCAATAGCACAAAGTTGTTTGAGTTCAATGGGGCTCTATCTAGGTATGGGGGTTCACAATAGCAGACCTAACTGTAGGATTAGGGCCTAAACTAACTATATCATGTAGCAACTAAGTCTTTTTGTAATGAGTGATGTAGCATATGCTAGGGTTACACTGGAAATAGATCCCTTCAGTAGGAAATAGGATCTTATAATCTACTAATTTTCCTCTATGCATATATTTTTGCAAATTTTAGAAGACAGATGTTAAGGTTGGATGGGAAGTATAAGTTACGCATGTGGGTGATAGTGAGTCATTAAGGATTACATGGCAGTGCGGAACTGACTGAATCTCGACTTAATTTCCAGACTTTTTTTTTTTTAAGCATTTGGAGGGGTTTTAAGAGTCAATTTTTTGTAAAATAAATTTTTTTGCAGTGTTAACATGATTCCATGGAAACACACTTTCCACCTTTACTCTTTTTTAATTTTTTTTTTTGGAGAACATTCATGTCTTTTTGAATAAGCCCCGAAAGTTTAAACTGTGTTGGCATACAGTCTAGAGAAGGGGAGCCCTGCTTCAACATACTGTATGAGGCTTAAAGTGTGGCTATCCTCTTGCGTGTTTTAGCAAGCCTTGAGGAGGGGTGCATGTGAGAAAGGGAATTAGAACATTGCTTCTTAATATGATGCACTTACAAGGTTTTGAACATGTTTTACTTTGAAGTAACCTTACCATTCTCACAGCTTTGTCAAGTTCACAGTCCTCAAAAATGATCAGTGGGGATTTACCACCAAGTTCAAGGGAGACTTTCTTCAGATTACTGACTGCACAGCTATGGAAAGTTGTAAATAATTACTGTATATACTAGATCATAAGCCGGTTCGTTTATAAGCCGACCCCCCCAAGATGGATAAGTAAAAATGGCAAATTTTATGACCCATTCATAAGCCGACCCTATAATTCAGGGGTCGGCAAACTTTGGCTCCCAGGCCATCAGGATAAGCCGTTGGTGGGCTGAGACGTTTGTTTACCTCAAGCATCCGCAGGCACAGAGGTAAACCTAAGTAAACAAAGTGTCCTGGCCTGCCAGTGGCTTACCTTAATGGGCCGGGACAGCAACTGGTGGGGAAATTTTTTTTGAGGGGGGGAGAAACTGGGGGTCAGGGAAGTAACCCCTGTGACCACCTCCCACGTGACCCCATCCCTAACTCGGGACCTCCCCACATGACCCTTCCCCATGTAACCCCATTCCGCCGCACCCCTAGCCCGGGACCCCCACACTCTCCCCATCCCATCCCTTCCCACCTTAGGTGGAGTGGGCCAGGGGAGGATGTCTCTGGCCTGGCCCTAGCTGCTCCGGCAGGCCAGGCAGTATGGCCACAGCCTGCCAGCCCTGGAGCTGTAGCTGCTTCAGAGGCTTGGGGGAGAGCCGTGTGGTCAGAAGAGGAGAGACTCTGGCCCCACCTCTTCCCTTCTGGCTCTGCTGGCTGTGTTGCAGGGGGAGGGGGCTGTGTCCCACCACTCCCCCCTCTCTATAACCATTCATAAGCTGACCCCCCTTCTCTGATGCTTCCTTTTTTTACTAAAAAAATTCTGTTTATGAACTAGTATATACGGTGTGTAAAATTAACATTCAGACATCTTTTAGTAATGAAATTATTTTCCCTAAGATCAACTGGTGAAAATGTATAGCATATATCTATTTTTGGTTTTGGACAGTTGGACTTAATAGCAAATGATATTTCCACCTTTTAATGAAGACAAATGACTAAATATATTCCCATCCACAGTCTTCATGTCATTTTAATATTATGTGCAAGATGTAGTTTGCACATCAATGCAGTAAACAAACATTGATTCATCTACAGTATAAAAAAGATCTAAAACATCTTCTGAATATAATGAATACAATACCTCTTCATGATCTGTTTACCAATAAGAGTTGAACCAGTAAATCCAAGTTTGCGGATATCTGGGTGTTCAGACAAGTGCTGTCCCACTAAACCACCTGTATTATCGTGTGATATGGGAAACAACTAATTGGAAAATGTACATACAATTCTTAACATTCTAATAGTCCAGTAGGCCTGTCAGGTTAAATAGCATCTAATTTAAAAAAGAAGTATCCTTACTTATGTTACTATTAACACCTCAGATTAATAAAACTAAAACCACAACGGCACAAATCCCTCCCTTCACCAATGGAGTCGAGAACTTCATCTCTGATACTTGGACTGCTGAGAGAATAACCCAGTTTATATTTTAAACTCGGATCAGCTGACATATGTACTGTTTCATTGAATCAGCCCCACAGTTATCTTGGGGCTTGTCTTCACTAGGAAATCTTATGTCTAAACATGATTGTGAGGAGGTGAATTAGCTGATGTAATGTTTAATTGTCTCCACCGACTAATCTGTCACACTTAGCTAACTAGATTTCTCACAATCTTATTGAAATATTTCCTACTGGCAACAAGCTTTGGAGAATAAGAGGAGTCCTACAATCAATAGCATTATGTTTCTCTGTATTATAAACGGTTCTTTGAAGATTTATATATTTTTTGTTTGAATTAGGAATGTGTAAATGAGGGGTAAACAGCCCTGGCTAGCACCACAGTCATTCCCCATTCAGCTCAGAGAATACATGTGCAATGATGGATCAGTTTTGTAATGTGAACAAAGATCCACTAAGGAGGAGGAGAAGTCCACTCCGCAGTTTTCACCTGACTGGTCTGCAGAGGTGAAAAGCTAGATCACCAACAACTTCACCTCACCTCAGTCCTTTACTTAACTGTTCTCAAGTACAGTTCATACCGAACTATATTTTGTACAGAAAAATAATTAGGTCAATGCTTTACCTGAACCAGGCAGAATATTTATAACGCCTTTGGGAAATCCTGCTTTAGCTGAGAGCTCTGCAAACTTTAAGGCAGTCAAAGGAGTCACCTAAGCATGTACAAAATAGTCAGATTAGGTCTGCTATTTTAGTTAAATATATTGTGAAGTATTTAATGTGCAATACGTTTTAGCCTATTGCAATATGAATCTTACATTAGTTCATATTTTTACAAAGCTGACAAAGTGACATTCCCTTAGAAAAAGGAGTTCATGTTGTTCACGTCCAAGATTAATTATATTCTGAGTACACATGCATCTCACAGTGCAACCTCCTCTCCCCCTCTTCCCTAACCATAGCTCCACACAACAAAGACATCGACAGACAAACAGAAAGATTTAATGTATTCTCTAATTTGAGGGTGCCAAGAGTACTAGTGAAGACAATGAGTGCCTTGTATCAGTGTGGGAATAGCTACTGCTTTACATGTTTTTTTACAGCATGCAACAGGTCAGTCAATGGATGGAGTGAATGGAAGCTTTGCCTGAGTAGGGACTGGAGGATAACACCCATAATTTGCATTTTCCCTTTTGATTTTACCTGTGCTGGTTTGAGAACTAACGTGTTGCCTGCAGCCAAGCATGCTGCACTCTTCCATGCAAGCATCATCAGTGGGTAATTCCAGGGGATAACAATTGCACAGACTCTTAAGATTGGGAAAAATATGAAAAAAGTTACATTTTCATAACAGATTTTGAAAGGATTTTCTATTTGTCAAGGTTAAAACTAGTCTGCAGTCATTAGGAAGAAGACAACAGCCTTACCCTATGGGTTCCTTCTTGGTGAATGTTAGGTTATGGTTTGGGCGTGCTTGGCTAATCGGGATTGTAGACCCCTAAAAGAAAGACAATGGATTTAAAGAGTATATCTCTAGAAAGGAAAACTAAAATGCACCAATTACCTAACCATGTTTGTTTCAGAAAAATCACTGCCATCATGGAAGGCGTCACAGCCAGATTTGTTCTGTTAATGGGATGCCAGAGAGAGAAAGATGCTGGAATATTGCTACTGTATAACCTTCTACCAAGAATAGGAGGTACATCTCCTCTATAGCACTTCACATTCTCAACCAGCTTATCTGGCACCACGAGTTAGACTCTAAATCCCTTTTTCCCCAATAGGAAGCATAATATGCTCCTATCATGTTTCCAGGAAGACTCTTACTAGGTAAAATTCTAATTCTGTCACCCACAATTTTGAATGCCTCATTTCCCTGTGTTAAAGTTGTTCTTCTGGGCTGTACAAGCAAAAGGCAGTACCAGTAAAGAATAAGTATACAGAAGCATTGTAATTTGTTTCTGACTTTGGGTAACTGCTGACAAATATTAGCTTGCCTGAATTTTGTCACACCATCCAGCAAAGTATCTGAATGTTTGCACAGACATTCCTACATGGGTCTTCAAAGCTAGAGTGTAGACAGCTCCTGAGTCAATGGCCTCAATTGTTGCTAATTCCTCTTGGTGTTCTTCCATCAGGTCAGCAAGTCTTTTAATTAAAACACAAGTGAGAATCAAAAACAACAACACTGGGAAACGACACCTCCAACTATACCTAACTTACAAACATGATGTGGGACTGCAAAATACTGCAACTCAGGCAAAATTTCCATTGACTTCAGGATTGGGACCTTTGGCTATTTGTTAACCTAAATAAGGGCCAAATACCCAATAAAGTCAATGGGAGTTTTTTCATTGACTTAAAAATGCTCTGACATCCACACTGCAATACAGAGACCAAGTCAAAGTAACCATATCCCAGAGCCCCTAACCCCTCCCCCGCAATTCTGAAATGTGGCCACTCTAACCCTAGGACAAGGAACGTCCATCAGATTCAGATGGATTTTTCAGAGGAAGTAAAATAAAGTTAAGAACCATGAGCAAATATAGCAACACCCCTTACATACCTGTACATTAATCTCCCTCTTTCCCTTGCATTCATTCTTGCCCATTCACCATTTTCAAATGCATCTTTTGCTGCTGCTACTGCCTTGTCAACATCAGCCACTGAAGCATAAGACACCTTTGCTATTATCTGTCACAAGACAGCTAAGTGTTAGCTCACATTTAAAGTGGTGTTACATGCAATACTTCCTTTCTCTCTTTTTTTTTTTAAATTTAAATATAAACAAACATTTAATTTTCTAATGGCTACCAATTATGCATGGATCAATCAGGTTCAGAAAAGCTCAGACACCATTGATGGTGGTGGAACTCGGAGGATTGTGTGAACAGCCAGAATTCTGGATCCCTCTTCCCTCAAACTCTGCTAACAGCAGAGCACACCCTCATGCCTTATTTTATTTCTTCAAAGATCACATTAACTTACTGATGTGACAATGAAGACGTGGAAAAGCTTAGTGTCTGGCACGACAATAGAATGCCTAAAAATTCTAGAATACCATCTGGATATTGCCTCCCTGGAATGGTGTATTTGTTACATGTATCACCATAGATGGACACTTATATTTAAGATGCCTTAAGAGAATACCAAACTGCTCAGGCTGTACTTGGTTCTGGCCTCATTAATAATGGTATAACTAGCTCCATTGACTTAAGTGGAATTCAGTTACTCCTGATTTACAGGTTTCAGAGTAGCAGCCGTGTTAGTCCGTATTGGCAAAAAGAAAAGGAGTACTTGTGGCACCTAATTGTTAGTCTCTAAGGTGCCACAAGTACTCCTTTTCTTTTTTCCTGATTTACAGTGGCATATATGAGATCATAATCAGGGCTGTTATTTATAACTTTTCAGTTAACAGTTGCTCAGCCAAGATTTGGTACTTTTTGGAAAAAAAATATGCATATTGAGAAGTCATTTTAAAAAGTGATTTAAAAGGACACTTTCAAGGCAAATTTCCCCTAAACTTTTACAAAACTTCTGACCAAGAGAAATGTGCTCAAGACACTAACAAAAATCCCAGTGGAAACATTTTTTAAAAGAACAAATAAGTATCCCCCTGCTCTGTCTGCAAAGTATGAGAACCTGCTAGTGAAACTGACTTAAAACAGATTATAAACATAGTGAAATTAATCAGCCAGTTTTCACTATGCTGCCTAAAATGCAAAAAGCGAATAAAAAGCATAAAAACTGAAAAGTAAATTAGATTAAATTATTAACATTTCAAGATAACTAAAAGTTGAAGAAATTTTTTAAAAAGTTTTGATTGTAAAATAGTAAAGGATTCTTTTTAAATGTACTACATAATTTTCAACTTGGCAATATCCTTTTAATGTTTCAGATTATTTATCCAGAAATGTAGTATTCAGAATAAGCCAGTATTTATCATATGCAGAAATTACTCACTGATCCATCTGTTGGGTTTATAGTGTCATATGTTTTTCCCTCTTCAGCATTCATAAACTGTCCATTTATAAAACACTGGTAAGGCATCTTCACATTCATATTGTTAACATTTTTTGAAACCTATCAGTGAAAGAAACACAACATTTCATGATTTTGTCGTGAGTCTCATGACCATTATTGTTTTCCTTAAAGCACCAGCTCCTGGAGTCAAGTGGATATGTGATGATTTCAGCCTTCATTCTTAAAAAAAAAAAAAAAAAAATCTAGCTCTTGTGGCTATGGAGAAGGCTTCAAAATGTGAGCTCGGTGCACCCTAAAGGCTGGAAAAGCAGAAAACAAATAAAAAGAACCCCAAATCTATTGTTACTTAATCTCATGATTTTAAAGCCAATCTCATGATTTTTGACAGGTTTCAGAGTAGCAGCTGTGTTAGTCTGTATCCACAAAAAGAAAAGGAGGATCCGATGAAGTGAGCTGTAGCTCACGAAAGCTTATGCTCAAATAAATTGGTTAGTCTCTAAGGTGCCAAAAGTCCTCCTTTTCTTTTCATGATTTTTGGTGAGCCTGACTCATAATTTTTGAACATTTGGGGTTGGCAATACAGCATATATGGCTGTCAGTATCCACCGCTAAGGCAAAACTAAATAGGAATTGTACTTCCTCCGAGGAGATGAGCCCAAATTATTAAATGGATTAATTAATCTGTATGGTTTTACTAGTGGATATCCAGGATCAAATCATCATTAGAGCCTCAATACAGCAAGGTATTAAAATAGGTGTGTGACTAAGTAGGTTTATAATCCAACTGAAGTCAACAGCCCTACTTATGTGTTTAAAGTTACTGTGACTCTAAGAGCTCCTTTATGTCAATTAGTAAAGGGCTCATCCAACACAATGTTGGCAGAATATTTAGCCAAGCAGGGACCTGTAAGGTATCATATGAAAACGGGTGACATGCTGGTCACGAATATTGTTGCATGATGTATGTACAAGTTGTTCATAAAGACTTTATGTATGTGTGCTGGAAATAAGTTCTTGTAATATGTTTTGGAGGCAGCTGATAAACAAGCCTGCCCTTAACAAAGGAATATAGATTTACCTGTCTGCATGGCTCTAGTTATGAGAAAACAGCATGGCTTAATCACAAGCAAAGGACAATGAAAGTACAGTTGCATCTAAGGTAAAGAAAGTGATCAAGTCAACTGAGAAAGCAAATTGACAAGAGGATGAAGAAAGAGCTTGGTGCCCAAAGAACAAGCAGCAGGGGAGAGGAACTTTGTCTTGGTTTACTTTTCAAAGAATACATTTCAAAAGTTTTCTGGACTATGAAAGGGAACAAAGGGGACTCCTTTGTTATCCATCTCTTTGGGGACAACGTGATAAGCACTCTCTGATTCTGTAAAAAGTGGTCGATCCTCCTGCCTGAGTGACTAGAGATGCTCATAGCTTGATGTAAGTGAAGAAGCTGCTTAGGCAAAGATTGTAGCTTGATTTGGTTTTATATCCCTACCTATCCTGGACAGCCATTGATGGGCCTATCCTCCATGAATTTATCTATTTCTTTTTTGAACCCTGTTATAGGCTCGGCCTTCACAACATCTTCTGGCAAAGAATTCCACAGGTAGACTGCATTGTGTGAAGAAATACTTCCTTTTGTCTGTTTTAAACCTGCTGCCTATTAATTTCATTGCGTGCCCTGTAATTCTTGTGTTAGGAGAAGGAGTAAATAATACTTCCTTATTTACTTTCTCCACACTGGTCATGATTTTATGTATCTCTATCATATCCCCCTCCGCCCCATGCTAGGGTTCCTTGGAGGAGAGTCTGTTGCTGTTTTCCTCAGAAAAGCAGATTTTTTGTGGGCATGATGACAGAGATACATGAGCAAGGCACTCTAAGGAAGTTTACAATACCTACGTGTGCAATACGCATGAATCCATCCACTGCTATTGATCTCCCAGTTTCATGAGCAATGGAATTCACCAAATTTCACCTCCATCCCCAGTCACAAATAAATGCAAACTACAGAAACGAACCCAACACTCCATCAAAGAAAGTGGGTAAAATGTCAATAAAACCAAAAAAGGCTTACATAATCTATGACTAATTCTTCTTCTTCATCCTCTCCCCTCAGTTTCCTCACAGCCATCTGAATAAAGTCTGCAAACTTAGTGGCCATATACACATCTTCATTTTGCAGCTGAAGTCCACCATATTTTTGTTTGATCTCTTCAATCATTCTGAAAATTGCAGAGAAATAGTAGGTTGATCTTTACACTGAAGTATTGTTGAGACAGTCAATTATTTGGAGTAGGGTTTTGGTTGGTTGTGTACAATGTGTTGGCTTTTTTGTGTGCATGCTATTACTCTGTAGCTGTACTGTATTACTGCTAGCCATTGGGCTATATGGGGTCCTCAGTTATACACAGCAATTGTGGAGGTGTTATTAGGGTCAGAATTTGGCCCAATGGCTTTGAAATACTCTGAGGTAACATTTTAGGAATAAATGGCAAATGATGAACATTGTGTCCCATGTAACAGGATGCGCTCCGTTCCTGCCTTCTAGCTTCACAGAAACTGCTCAGACTTCACCAGTTAGTTATCCACACAGTGCAGTTTAGTTCAGATTCCTGCGCCAACCCCCTTACAGTTCTGTGCAACAATGCTATTTGCAGTGTCCCTTGTATCATCAGCCCTGTCCCCGGGGGTCTGAGAGGAGAAGTGGTCTCCCTTCCTTGAGAGCTCTCAAAGTTTGGACTTGGACTCAGCCCTGCTCCTCTCCCCTTGCACTTCCTTCCTGTGCCTTTTTAATCACTCCTCAGATGATGGGCTAATTAATCCATTAGCTCACCCAGTCTGATTAGCAGATTCCATTCCATTCCCCATTCAGACCTCTCTGGGGAAACAAATTAGTGCCAGAGAGATCAGCTGACTGGCTAGCTCCCAGCACTGTTACCTCATGCAGGTATTGTTCACTCTATTTAGTGCAGCTCAGGAGTTGTGAATCATGTCATATTTGGTGGATTATTAATAGCAATGATTTTGGTAAAACTCTCAAGGGCTTCTCATGTGATGGCTGTGGACATTTGGGGTAAAGAAAGGAGCGATGCTCACTGATGTGACCTGACACAGCATGGTGACCTCACTGCATTTGGGAATAGTGGGCTCAACCCTCCTTGCGCATATCCCCACTGATCTGAATGGAAGTTCGGCACACAGCTGCAGAATTGGGCCCACGGATTTGGACTAGCTGTGTCAGAGCTCTACAAATATCTGCCATGGTACTCCCTTAGTTTTGGGGCTAATCCTGCCCTTGTTATTCAGGCAAAACTCCAATTGAGGACAATGTCATGAGAGTCAGGAGTATTGCTTGAGTAAGCAGGGCAAGGGCCCAATCTTGCACTGACTTTGGTTGGTGAAGGATCTGATGTGGCACTGGGATCACCTTATTAGGTTTCTGGAAGTAGGAAAAGGAAGTGGTTAGTGTGGTGAAAAAATGCATTTAAAATCATTTTCTCTTTACTGTTTTGTGACTTCTGATTGGGGAAGAGTGGGGAAAGGAAAAAAATCACAGATATCATGAGAACCATAACAAGGTCACAACTATCATTTATCGCTTCGAAACATGGCTATTTAAAATATAAAAAAGTTACCTGACAACATGCATCGAGGATGCTCCAGATTTGAAGAAGTCTGTAGAATCCTCAATTACAGCAACATTGCTCAAAATTCCCTTCCAAATGGACTAAAAAGTATAGAAAATAAATGAGGCATTAATACAAACAAACCCCTCTAATGGCATAAAACATCAGTTCACTGACACTAACCTAGGTCTGTGTGTATATTTTTAAACATAACAGCTTCTTTAAAATCAATTACTTCTAGAGATAATAAAAGAGGAAGCCAGAAAAGCAAATGAGGATTTTTGCTGTAACCACCATGCTAATGATTTGCATGTATACAGTTTGCATTTTTTTTAGTGTGGCAGGTGAAATTACTGTTGACCCTTTGGCCTGAGCAGTTAGCCAGCATGCGGGGCTTTGCAGGTTTGTTTTGATTTGGGGAACTGATGTTATTAGTTGTCTGAGTACAAGCTATTTCTTTGTTGCAATCAGGGGCAGCAGAATGAGGTTGCGGGCCATGGAAACATTGTAGGTGCTGATATATGTTTCCTCTCCCACAATATCTCATGAAGGTGAGAGTGGAACCTGGTTATGCTTCCACCCCTGCATGCATGCATTGGGGACAGAGGTGAGAGCGGAAGCCTGAGGAGTGGCTGGAGATCAGGCTGGCTGTTAGGAGGCAAGTAGGAACAGACAGCTCTCCTCTCCCCACCTTCCAGCAACCACAGGTCCCAGCAGAGACATCCAGTCCAGGGAGGAACATATGCCCCAGCTGCCAGGTTGTGGGAGAGTGCACAGGCACCTGGGTTGGGGGCAGGAGAGCACTGGCACATAGGGCATCAGCTGCTGAAGAACTGCCGGGACGCCCATTCCCAGCCAGCATCCGGCTTCCACAGGGAAGAGAGCTGCGGGCTGGGCAGCTCCCACCAGCTTCCGATCTGCTAGCTCCTCGCAGGTGGTGACCGTTTTCAAACTGTGGGGCACATCTCCTTAGGGCAGCGGGCCACCCAGTTTGAAAACCTCTGTGCTAAATAGAAGGCAGAAATGACTCCATGTCCTCCCCCATGTGTTGCCTCTAGTTTGGGGGGGCAATGCCCCCCATGCCCTCCCCAATCGCCACCCATTTACAGAGCACGTACACAAAGTCCTGGTTCCCCGAACACGGTAGGAACAAATAGCAGCAGGCAGTTTCTTTGCTCACATTTTCCAAGCCTGCCTCTGCAGAAAGTCCTGTGCTCCAAGGAGCTCTGTCCCTCTGCTCCCTCTCAGGGCCATGCTTCATTCTCTTGCTTCCTGGTGACCTTCTCACCACACAGCTTGCCAAGCAATCCCTTTTAGGCTGTGCATTTGCCATCACTCCCAGGGAACTGCTCAGATTTTGCTATGTGGCCAGTTATCTTGGGCGGTAGTCTCCCATTATTTCCAGCAATTGTTACATAAAATGGGTTTAACTGCTCCTTCCCCCTAGCCTGAAAGAAGGGTGGTTAGCACACCCATTGGCTTCAACCAGATCTGCAATAGTCTAAAGCTCAAAGACCCACTTGACAGCCATTAGCACCTTCCAGCATAACGTTCCATTATTAGTAGTAGTACTATAAAAATATTCCCGTTGTGCATGAAAATTATTTTCCCTAATATTACGTTGTATAACAATGCAACAAAATACAGTGCAATACCAACAGTTTTCTTGCCTATCTTTCTTATAACCTTAATCTTCCAAATAACACCACCACTTTAGATGTATAGGATCTGATCCCCTGAGGTGTGAAGAGGGCGGGCTGAGGAGGACTGGAGGATTTGGTAGTTGGGTATGTGCAGCAGGGACTTTTGGCACTGGGGAAGGGCTGCGAGGTAGTGCTATAGAATAAATACTCTAGATGGATATTTCTGTTAAAATGGCGGTGTAATTGCTGCGAATGTGCACATTTAAATTGTTACAAATCAGTTTCAAGTTGTCTCCACTGAGTCAAATAGGGCAATTCACACCCCTAAGAAATATTGTTTCTTAGGCTATGTCTACACTATGCAGCCATGTACAGGTCAGACTTCTGTATCAGACAAAGACTGACTACAGGACTTTCATCTCAGAGAGAGACCCAAGAGATGTGTCTTCCGTAAGATCCTTTAATGTTCTGCCACGTATGGCTGAGGTTAAATATGGAATGTCACACATGGTGCACTATATACACTGAACAGTATAATACAGTGTAGCATTCCGTTACAGGAACCCTTGAGTATGAACCCGCAGCATCCCCACCGGGGAGTCCAGCACAGCACTTTCATGCGCAATGATCTTCACGGCCCCAGAGTCTGAACTGCGGGGCAGTGTAGACAAGCCCGCAGATTCTGTTTTAGAAATAGGATCAAATCTTGCTGCTGAATGTTTCCATGAAAAAAATGATGCCAGCTTCTCCAGTTTGTTTGGTGTCTGAAGGCCCCATTGTTGAGGGAGAGGTCATGCTGGTTCTCTGACTCTGCTTTGAAGTGTGTCTGCCACTCATAGGATATAATCCAAAATCATTCTCTTCTCGACCTGGTCTTTAGAATCAATCACTTATATCTAAAGAAAAAGCTTCTAGGACCATATATACATTTGTAAACGCCTACCCTGATCTCCAAACACATCTGAAACTAATTTCAATAGCTTAACATTCATTCTTGTACTTTTGTATATATTTTGTTAAGAAATAACTTGCACCTTTAAATAAAAGTTATATCATGTCTGTACCTAGACATCTTTAATGCTTTTCTGTAAACTAATATCCTGCTGAACTAGTTTACAGAATTACCTTGATATCTTCCGCCATCTTTTTCTCCTCTTCTGTAAGTTCTATGACAGACATGTCATCAGATGAAAAGTATTTAGATGCAGGGATCATTTTTCCATCTTCAAATTGTAGATTTCTCACCAACAACTGAAAAAGAGGGGATATGATTTAAGTTGATGGAAAGGCTGTAAAACGTACTAAGGAGAAATTAATGTGTTAATTCAAATAATAATGAAATGAGTAAGTGTCTGGTAGGAAATCTCAAATCTGTGATAAAGATATCTTTAAATATTTTCTTCACCACAAACTATAGTAAATACAGGTACAATTTAACAGATCATAGAAATTAACATATGATGGGGGGTAAGGAAATGCCTGTAAGGATCAGTGGGACATGAACACAGACCTGCAAGGTTACTGGACAACCACCATCCCCACGCTGCCACCTGGTGGCATCTGGAACCTAGTTACTCCCTGCAAACAATCTGCTGAGGTTCGCGGGAAGTTCTACCCAGAGTAATCTGACTGACACTGGTTTTAGCAATCCCTGATTGGCACCTTGTCCCTGTATAAGTCCATGGGGCGTACCAGCAAGTGCCCAGGCAACAATGAGAATCCTTAGCTACTCATCATGACTACCCTGCTTCTCTGTTAGTGAGCTCCTGGTTCTGATCTCAGCTCTGACTTCAATTCTGACTCCCAATCGACCCCTGGAACTCTGACACGGACCCAGTATCGGCCAGATTCCTGACTCTGTCTCTGACCCTCAGCTTTGCTCATAACTCTGACTTAACCATTAGCTTGATTCTTAACCCTGATCCTGGCTCTGAACCCTGCTTTCAGTTCTGGGATCCCAAGCTCCCACCACTAGTCCTGCCTACCTTCACCCAGGATCCTGACAATACCTAAGATAAAGAACAGAATAGCATTTAGCATTCTTCATGAAATAACAGAAGATTGACATGTTCATGGCTGATTACCTGGCTGCTATCACTAGCATTGCAAAGATTACATTTGGATTTGAATGGCATGAAATTTCCATACAGTTTACATTTTCTCCTAATGTTGATCAGTCCATACAGTTTTTCACCTCCCTTACCCGTGTCCCCCCGCGCCCCTGCTACACTATTTATCTTGTTGAACACTTACCATCTTTCCATCATTACCAAAAAGAACTAGGCCATTTTTGGTTATAAGCCCAGATTTTGTGGTGCCTTTTATTGCCAACGGTTGTCCAGGAGGCACTGGTCCATCAAGTAATGATGATCCATAGAAAGTAACCATCTACAAAACAAAATGAATGACAGATGCATAGGCTCTAAATCTCTCTCAACATGCTGAAAATGCAATGACACTGTTTTCCGGCTGTTAATGGGGGACAGGCCTTTTGTTCCCTTTACTTGTAAACTGCAAAAATTGTGTGACTATATTATCTGTGGGGCTTCACAACCCACCATATGCAACTCTTTGTCCAAATGCAAGCCCAGGAAAATCCTGTGAGGGACAGCTACTTAAGAAACAAGGGCCTGGCCTGGTGTTGTCTTCTTACACCGCAAGCTTTGGGAGGCAAACACAGTATCCATCTCAGTGTTTACATAGTGCTTACCACAGTGCGGCGCAGATCCCGATTAGGGCCTGTGAGCAATATGGTAATATAAATATTAAATAATAATTATAATGACTAAATTGAGTATGCTTGGAAAATCTCCTAACGTTATTTACTAGGACTCAACCGTGAGCTCTGCTGTGGACCTGTGCAGGGGCCAAAGAGGGCACAAGGAGCCCCCCTTACTCCCCTAGACAGGATACCTACATCACCAGAACCTGTAGGGGAGGGATAGTAGCTGCCAGCAAGCTGCTACTCCGCCCCCAACCTTGACTCATCCTGGTCGATACGAAGTGGGTGGGCCAGAGTTTTGGCTCTGGTCCCAGTGTACCAGTGAGCACAAGGAAGCTAGTGCAGAAAGGGAAGCAATCTGAGCTAGCAAATGGACTGGTGCAGAGGACTTCCCCAATCCTGAGCAAGGAGGAACCAGGACCAGGCTGTGACTATCAAAGTCACAATCTGATTCCTGCCCTGCTCCTAGGGTAGTGCAGCTATCTGCTGCCTCTTACTCGGGCTGGACTGTAGGATTAGAATCCAGCCCATAGGGAGAGCCAACCAAAGGCTGGTTTGGTAGCTAAGCAACTATCATGAAGCCATTAAAGTAACTTTGATCTGGTCTCGATATACTTACTCCTGCCTCCGTGCTGGGAGCTGGACTAAAGGACCTCTTGAAGTCCCTATGTTTCTATGATTCTATGACTTTAAAACATTTTAAACAAGGAACATTTGGATCAAGGACATACTGCCTTTTATCAAATTGAAAAGAACAGCTTTGTGATAAACGGTGATTTACTTTTCTTTCTGGTAAATGGTTCCAGCATTCAAGGCCAAAAATCCTTTAACAATAATTCATTTTGTATTTCAATGGCTCGCAATATTATATTCTGGTGTTACCTTGAGACATTAGTATCTCATTATCATTATGTGATATCTCATCATATCTCATTACATAAAGTAAAACTATTTCCCCTTGTTTATTCCCCACCCCACCCCACACTTTTCCTCAGATGTTCTTGTCAACTGCTGGAAATGGCCCACCTTGATTATGACTACAAAAGGTTCCCCCCCCCACAGGTAATAGCTCATACAGTGAGTATGGTAACACCCATTGTTTCATGTTCTCTATGTATATAAATCTCCCCACTGTACTTTCCACTGAATGCATCTGATGAAGTGAGCTGTAGCTCACAAAAGCTTATGCTCAAATAAATTTGTTAGTCTCTAAGGTGCCACAAGTACTCCTTTTCTCATTATGAACAGTAATGTCTAGCTATTTCCTACAGTATCTGGCATGATCTGGCTCTGCTCTCTCTGCTTATGGATTTGAACTAGAGCTCAGTCCCTTTCAGACACACGCTTTTATTTTTTCTTTGAACTAACTGACCCTATCAAATGGACTCACGTCTTGGACTTAGCCGTGATTTTTCTGGTGATTGATACTGTGACACTATGTCCCCCATATTCTTCATAGAGATATTGTTATGAGTATGGCATAATTATGATGTATTTTGTGCAAGATAAGGCATATGAGATATCATTGGAAAGGTTATGATTTACTGAATACGATTATCCCATCCGTATGCATGTATCATTTCTGAACCTGAAGTTAGGAATATTGACTATATCAATTACAAGTGGGTTTTCACCTGGGGAATGCCCACTCGACAGAACGCAGTCAGTCTGGATGGGCCATTAGCGAAAACAAGAGGTCTTAGAAGATGTTTATCACCCACAGAGAGTCCTTCCTGAGGGTGTTACAACCAGCCTCTGAGTTATGGCTACAGAAGCATGTGACCAAGTCACCTGGTACTGGAATCCATCTTGGAATACCAATGTTTTTCCACTGACTGGCATCAGAACTACGGAAACAAAGGGTTCCTGCCATATGCAAAAGCTGTTTAAGGCAGGGGAGTGACATCATCGTGGTTTGTTCTTCACTGTCTCCCTGCCCAAGATGACTGCTGTAAACACCTAAGACTGAACTGGGAAAGAAAGGACTGAACCCAGGCTAGAGGATGTCTGGCCTGTGAAAGGAATATCTGGAGTTTTAAGATGCAAGCAAGTCTCTGCAATCTGCCTAAAACAACATTTAGGGTGAAAATTTGCTGCTTATAACCAGTTTCTTTAGTATATTAAGCTTAGTTTGCGTGCTTGTTTTATTTACCAGGTAATCTGCTTTGATCTGATTGCTATCCCTTATCACTTAAAATCTATCTTTTGTACTTAATAAACTTGTTTTCGTTTTGTCTAAAACCTGGTGTGTGGAATTCATAACTGGGGGTGCTAAAAGCTGTTGCATCTCTCTCTCCACATTGAGGAAGGGGACAATTTTCATGAGCTTACGCTGTGCAGTTCTCTGTGCAGTGCAAGATGGTATAATTTTGGGTTTGCACTTCAGAGGAGGATGTGCACTTGAGTACTGGGCAGTTCCTTAGCATGTGTGTGTAAAGCTGCAGCTGGTTGTGTCCCTACCTGTATGTGTGCTGGTTAAGTGCAGTCTGAAGCATGAGGAGAGCTTGGCTGGCTTTGCCTCAGCAATACAGTGTAAAGAGAGCCCAGGCTGTTGGGTCAGGTGGTCTCAGTGGTACCCCGGTTACAAGTGGCACCCTGGGGGCGGGGAGGGGAGGGCAACCCATCACAGGTACATTTTATTAAGTGACTTGATCTATATTCTGATTGTTATCAACGGGAGTTACATGTGATCACCAAAAGGAGGCTGCATCTCATCTGTAACTTTTATTACAAAAGCAAATAACAAAGATGGTATGAAAAGTAAGGAAACACTTAAATTTCACATATCATACCTGGCCATCAATCACTGTCCAAGCTCCAGGTACTTTATCATGCCCTCGGATCCAGTTATGCAAAGCTTCTGCAGGCTTGTCCCAAGAAATCTAGGAAATCAAGACACATGATCTGATTCTTTCCTATCTGGCTATAAATAAAGATAACATTTCTTTCCAATAATAACAGCAACAAGTTGTTTCTCTCTTTCAGTTGTTTATTTAAGAATCTAGAAGGGGTCTTGGAAAGGAAAGGAAAGGAAAGGAAAGGAAAGGAAAGGAAAGGAGACATTCTCCAGATGGCTAGTCATCAGAGTTGTAAATTGGGACACTATGAATCTTACTCAAAACTGCTTCTGCACAAGCTTTCCTTTTCAAAGTCTCTAATTCATATGATAAGTATGAGGATCACACAAGGAGGATGCAAGGGTCCCACTTTATAAAGTTTTTATGACAGATTATATTCATGTTAAAGACACAAGCAGTATGTATGTGTTAGAGATGGGTACAATCACATCAGTAAAAAGAGTCACATATAGTTATAAGCAACCTGTGGGACTCTATAACAATTGATTAACCATTTATTAAAACACTAATCATGTATTAACCCTTTATCATCTCTTTATTAAGCGAAACATTAATACAGCCTGGGATTCACACAAGGTATTCAAAGAATGAGCCAGTTTAATGCAAGGAACAAGCATGGATCAGGCTGCATTAAGGATCCTTTAGCACAGCCCATCTATGACCCTTGTAATCCTACACAATGCATGCATGATGTTAGCACTTCTGCTGCTATGGGATATGATATGGACTTAAAAAAATATTTATTACAGAACCAAGCCCATGATATTCAGTGGTCTCTCTAGTTTAAACTCAGAGAACATTTTACAGCTATGTTATAAGCTGATGACAACACAGTTTTACAACAGAGAAAAGAAAACATTGCCTCATCCAGCTCTCCTTACTCAGGCAGAACTCGCAATGAACTGAGTCTGAGTGAGGAGAACAGGGTTGGGACCACAGACACAAATTTAACAAGTGTCATAACTCTACAATAATAGATAAATAAAACTAAACGACTCTAAGGCTTCCTTAATAACTCATTTTAATTTTACATGCATCATTTAAGTTAAACAACAGTCCTCATTTTTCCTTGACAGGTTTCAGAGTAGCAGCCATGTTAGTTTGTATCCGTAAAAAGAAAACAAGTACTTGTGGCACCTTAGAGACTAATAAATTTGTTAGTCTCTAAGGTACCACAAGAACTCCTTTTGTTTTTCCTTGCGTCATCCTCAGCAGCACCCCTCCAGTGTGCCTGGTCTAATATGCATCTTCCCGGGGGGGGATTATCAGAACAGCTAGGACTCAGCCATCCTTCCTTACCCTGTTTTGCTGGTGTCCATGATGTCCAGCAGTGTATGGGGACAACCAGAATATGATCCAAGATAATTATCTTTCTAGATCTGGGATCATTTTGGGAAATTCACCTGTAGATCTGTGTGTCTCTTCAAAAATGTTAGTCAATAACTTTTTAGGCAGAAAAAGGCAGTAGGCAGCATTTTATACAAAGACTGTCTATAGAGGCTACAGATTGAAAGCTTTGCTATGCTGGTTTTTTTACACCTCCTGTTATCAATAGTTTGCACTGTTGTAGCAAAAATAATGGAGGAGTCACAGATAGCACTCTATATAATTTATGGTGGCTTTCCCAGCCTTGGATAAGGTCCCTGCTTAAATAGGTAGAAAAAGCAAGGAAGCTTATTATACAACTGGTCCGGCATGAACAAACCATATAAAATATGTTCCCATTATAGTCCTTATATAGATAATTTAAAAAAAAAACGTATTTAAAACTCCATCTGTTTGACGGAGAATTAAATTTTCCCAGCATGAAATCTCTTTCTGGCAGAAAGTCCAGTGCTATTTGTTCGGGGGGCGGGGGAAGAAGGTCTAATCCAACTGCCTTTTTCCAGGCAGTCGGATATATTAAGAATACTAAGAAACAGCAACTGTGTAGATGATCCTAGATAGGACATTATGTTGCTAAATATAAAAAGCTGAAGCCAGGGCATAAGAGCTTTGCCTAGGGATCTATTACATCTCCGTGGAATTCATCCAGAAATTTGGGAGGAAAGGGATTCAATATCTTAAGATATTAATAATTTAAAATATATCAAAAAGTATCATTCTACCCTGTGAATACAGAGGAGGAATCACTGAATAAGCCTCTCCCTTTTTATTAGTGAAAAGAATGGAGGGTGGGATTTTCAGATCCATCTAAGTGACTTAGGAACACAGGTCTCATTTACTTTCAATAAGATTTGTGCTCTTAAGTCCCTTACGTGCTTTCAAATTCATAGAAGCCAGATCCAACAGTCCATGAAGTCAATGGAATCCTTTCCATCAGTCTCGGGAGGCTATGGATTAGGTCCTTGAGGAATAACACCATATTTTAAAATACCAACAGAACACTAGTCATTAGAAGTAGTTGTAATATTTATTTGTAAAATACAAGATCCATTTTAAATTATGTAACTTGAGTCTGAACGCTCTCCCTCTGAAGTAAATGGCAAACTTGAAATGATTGAAATGGGAGCAGGAGCAGGCCCTTACTGTGCAGAGTACTCTATCAAAGACTCAACAGAAGATTAAGTTTCATGAGTGATGGCCATGAGGAACCATATGGTCTCTTGGCACTTGCAGAACCAAATCCTGGGATAGGAAAGAACACAAACCAACCAAGCAGCTCTTGGGTTTGCGCTGTTCTCAGAAAAGGGAATCACAGTCTACTATTGCTTTTTATTTATCTTCTCCTCCCATCAGTTCTGTTCGCTCTCCCCCTATTTCTCTGAAAATGCTTCTCTGCCAACTTTTCCTTTGCCCATGCTGCTCAATTCCCTCCTCCCCTCTCTTCTGCGAATTCCTTGGCATCTCTTGCCTCTTCTCTGGCTGCAGGTCCTGCTGATGGCACCTGTCCTTAAGGCCTGTTCCTGTTACCTCTTGTAATCCTTCTCCTATGCAGATAATCTTTCTCCTTCTTGGTTTCAGCAGCTTTTAAGGAACAGTCTTGTTTATTTATTTATTTATTGCAAAGAAGAGGCTAGACATCTGTAAAAACAGCTGAAAGCAAAGAGAAGAAACCAATACTATGTGATCTCCTAGCTCTCTCTGTAGCACCAATAAGTATTTTGCAGATCATGAAAGGTTCATGGATCAGAGTTTGAGACTCCCTGATCCAGGTACTTTGTTAAAATGTAATCAAAAGTGAACATGGAAGTACAGAGCATATTTGTTTGACAGTAATAATAATAAAAACAGACGCAGAGAGGTTCCGTAACTTGCTCAAGGCCTGAGCGGAAATCAGAGCTGGGATTAGAATGCAGAAGACCCTGGCTCCTGCTCGTATATACACTCCATTAGATCTCATCTCTCTCTCTCAGGCAGGATGGGCATTTTACTACATGCATATCTCCTACGCACTGCTCCTGAGTTGTATGCTCCAGACTTCACATCTGACCTGGTTAACACATAATTAGTTCAGAGAGAGTATTTAGTACCACAACACACTGTCTTTAAAGACACTGTGTGTGGCACTAACTATACTCAGACAAGTTTGTGCAATTAGCCCCTTAATCTATTTTTGGAGCAATAATTTCTACGACTAGAGCTTGTAGAGAACAAGTCAGAATGATAAAATATTTCTGCACTTTCTATTTGTGTCAGACTTGTTCTTGCTAATTAGGACATGGTCCTCCACACACTAAAGTCAAAGCGACAATTTTCATCGACTTCCACTGGAGTAGTACCAATACTCCAGAGATCTTTTGGCACATTGAACATAAAGTGGAACTACATTGTTATTAGCAACACAGTGTTGTTAACACAACAGTACCTCTGCATTTTCTTTCTTCTGGATCCCTTCATATGTTGCCCCTTCTTCAGGCTGAGGCATCTGAGGAGCTTTACCATCAGCAATTAGCTGGACAGCTTCTACCTAAACAGGAAAAAAGCAGTTTTAATTGCTCCAATAGGCCAATTTTTCTCTTTGTTTACACATGCTCTGCCCTCAGTTATACTTATTAGAGTCAGTAGAAGTTTTTCCTATGTAGGGTACAGGACTTGGCTCCTTATTTATTTTTTAATCCAGGGTTGCTGAAGTGTAAGGGACTGATCCTGCAAAGACTTGTGCATTTGCTAACTTTATACACCGCAGGCCCATTCACATCAAGAGCATTACTCACTCACAGTGAATAAAGCTAAGCACTTGCATAATCCTTGCAGGATTGAGGCCTAGCTGAGGGCAGAATATGACCCTATATATTACATTCAGCCTTTCTGTTTTTAACAGTTTGCAAAAACAGCAATTACTTGGCAGATTCCTGTGTAAATCCCTGCCAATATTCAACAGGAAAGGAGGAGGGGATTTCTCAACTGTTCCATGCACATAGCACTTTTTAAAAACAAATTATGTTTTCTGTTATGTTTTGTGTGTATGTGTGATGCACCAGCACACACACCAAAGTCCACACTTTTAGGTTTAAATTTGACTTCCTGATCCACAAGTAAAATAAGGTTCTGGCAATTTTGCTAAACAACAGAGCCCAGACCTGCAAATCCTTAATCCCCTGCGTCATCTCACTGATTTCAATGGGATTACTCCTGTGAGTAAAGATCTACAGGCTGTGGTGCTCAGATATTAGCAAGGTACAGAAGAGTTAATTTCCGCTGGGGACACTGTCAAACTACAATTGTCTTTGTGCCTTCTGTGACATGTGGAAACAGTCACCTTTTTTTAAATAACAGAACAAAGGAAGCTCTAACAGAAATGTTGTCTCAAATTTTCATTTTTTTAATTTGAAAGCTCCAAGTCTCTGTTTTCTATGATGCTATAAACTATTTGCTGCTGATTAGTCCAGTTTAAAACAGGGCAAATTCAATGCAGGTGTAACTCTATTGAAGTCAAAGGAGTTACATCAGAGATGAATTTGGCTCATTGACTTCAGAGGGAGCAGGATTTATCCCCTACTCAAAATATTGTGGGCCTCCAGTGGTGTGAATGTGCATAGCTCCATTGAAGTCAATGGAATTACTCCAGCTGAAGATCTGGCCCAGTATATTCCAATTTCTTTAGTATCTAATTATATTTCATTTATCTTCAAATTCCAAGAGGATTAACTATGCCAGATTTTTCCTTTTAAAATTTCTGTATTCAGCACAGGCAGACTTACCATAGCTTTTATGCCTTCTGGGAAAAGAAAATTATTATATAAGTCATCCACGGTATCGTTCCGTCCTACATCACATTCCCGTTGCAGAAGAATTGGTCCAGTATCCAGACCATCATCAGCCCAGAAAATAGTAAACCCTGCTTTTTTATCTCCTTGAATTAAAGTCCTGCCAATAGAATATTTTAGAATAAATATAGAGGGAATGACCTTAGTCACAAATATCAGTCCATTTGATAGTTCATATGCCTGATACAGGCACAATATGGAGATGCATGTGTGTGGAGTCTAATCAGCTTTCTTAGTACAGTCACTTCATTGCTATTATTCAAGGAGCTACAGGCTTGACTCTGCTGATGTGTACACACAATGACATAAGCAAGGCTGTAGCCAATGTCTTATGCTTTGCAGTCCAGTCATTTTTGTTTCATAGTTTATTGTGCTAAATTTTAAATTAATTATAAATGGTACAACAAATGGCACAGAAGTTCTGCAGTGGGATGTGATACCATTTACAAGTTGGAACCATCAGTACTAACAAAACAAAATAGTACTAATGACTGTGGTTCTACACAGTCTTTTTCATGAACATCTCCAAGTCAGTTACTTAAAATTAACTAAATAAGCTTCACAATATATCTGAGAGGTAGGTAAGAGAAACAGAGGTGGCTTACTACTAAAATGTATTTCCAGGGTGGAACATGACAACTGTTTAACAAAGCACAGCAATGCTACACAACAGTCCTATTCCTATTAAGTGAATAGGAACATCATATCCAGTTATTGTCTTCAATGGAACTATGGTAAATTTACATCATTTCAGAATCTGGTCCTGAATTTTGAAAGAATGTTAGCCACACAGGTCCCAATTCCCCTTTGGAGCTACAGGCCCTCCACACTGCTGGAAATTAGGCACAATTGTCTCTACTTGTGTGGCTCAAAACTGACACACAAAATTAGTGAACACCTCTTAAACATTTGGCTGTATATAAATCACCAACATTATTTCCTGCATGATCTAAATGTTCCTTGGCAGCCTCCCACCTTAGTTTTTGCGGCTTCACAGAACAACAGCAAAAGCTGTAATGATTGCAAGTTGGTGGATTTGGAAAACTATAATGTGGGCAAAGAGGTGACTGCACTGCAGAAGTGAGATTCTCGGTCTCTGGAAATACTAGCAAAAATACCTAAGCTTGTCATATTACTGGCTCTGGCAACCTGAAACAGAACGTCCAACAGAAGAGAAGAGTTGCCTCGCAGATATGGCAGCAGCACTGATGTGCTATAATAGAGGGTATAAGTCTTCAGTGAATTCTAATTATGGTGGATTTAACTACTTAACGACGATTAGCAGCGGAAGATATGTTACTAAACCTCCTCATTCAGCAGTAAAAGTGCACCCCTATGTGTTTGAACTGAAAGAAGGCATGACATAAGGAAGGACAAGCAGGGCTTGTTTACAGATATAATAAAAGTTTACAGATATGTGAAACCTTACACAGATATGTAAGGCACATATCTAAACCTGTTTCAATTTCCTTCATTAAGTGTTCACCTCTTTCTTTTTATATACTGAATAGAGTTATGTGAGTGAAAACATACTAGGAACATGATTCATAGCAGCAATCTCAGTAGAACACTGAGTAACAAAACTGGTTAAAAAAAATCAGCAAAAATTACACTGAGTCCATGGGCCAAACCTTCAATAAGGCAGCTCAGTCAAAGTCAATAGAATGATGCCAGTTTAAATCAGTTGAGGATCTGGTCTCTGTATCTTTCAGAGATATGGGAAATCTAAATAGCTTTGGGGCTTTTTGGTAAAAAAATAAATCATCTCACCAATTGATAGCTGAAGCTCCTCTGTGGCGGGGAAGGATGGATGGATGGTAGATAATTGATCCATGCTTAGGACTGTCAATAACATCCATAGGGATGAACTGTGTACAGAATGGAAGTACATTTAGATCTGCTCCAACTGATTTGTAGGCTTCAACTACTTCCCGGTTAGGCTTGCCCTTAACTCTCCATCTGGGGAACTTAAAAACAGGAGTGCCATCTTTCTCTGCTGCCAGTGCTAAAAAACAAGAAAAATACATCATTAAAAAAAAAAAAAGTATGTTACATTAAAAATTAAAATGTAACAAATAAGGATGACATAGTATGACAAATCAATCAGATAATTAAATAAAAAATGGCTTCTTTGTATTGATGCTAAAATGCCATTGTACTCTATTGCCCTGTATATACTAACCTGTGCCCACAGAATTCAGATACCTTTGTCGTGGGGAGCATGTTACTCTTACTATATAGCACCATAAACAACTACTTTATGGTACTTGTCACAGGGTGGCTGGCTGGCTTCAGTGATTAAAGTAGGTTTAGCACCTCTATGCCAGAACAGGTGCCCCCAGTCAGGCCAATTAAGGGGGTGGAGCTGAACCTGGGTCAAGAGGGAGTTTCAGTAGGTACATCTATATTGCAATGCAAACCCAGGGTTTGAACTCAAACTCAAGCCTAACCCCCCTTCTTTCTACAAAACAATCACAACTTAACATACAGAAAGGAAGGTGAGCTATGAGACCTTGGTTGTGACAAACTAAACAGTCTCCAGGGTGCCAAGTTCCTTTTAGTATTACATAGTGAATCTCATACTCCAGTAAGAGAAATAGCATGTGGAAAGGCTAAAATTTCAGGGAGAAAGAGCACAGTAAGAGGGACAACTGTTTCACAAACAAAGGAGCAAGTATCATCACGTAGGAGGCCATCAAGGGAGAAGGTTGGCATAATAGTTAAACCAGGGTTAATAAATTATTTTTTGTCAAGGTCCAGATTTCTTGGTCAAAGTATAGTTGAGGTCCAGATTCCAGAGAAAATAATACAAAACCAACAACAATGGTAATAAGTAAATAAAAAGATTTCACAATCTGAGTTTCAGAAGTGCCAAGCACTCACAGCTGTAACTATAGTTAGTGGTGTCACAGTTCCCAAAGTAACAGCACCCCTGACCCTGTGCTGGGCTCCTTGAGGGCACCCAACTTAGACCTCAAGCCTCTAACCATCTCCTCTCTTAGGGCAGAGGCCCACAACTCTCTCCCTCTAGACCAGGGATTTAGGCTTCAATTCTTCCTGCAATTCCCTGTGAATATCTGATCAGGTCTGACTTTAGTTCAGCACCTTCAGTCCTGTTCTCTCAGAAGCAATGACAGAGTTAAGCAAGGACCAGCCAGCCTTCATAAAGGAAATTATTATTTATTCAGAACAAAAGCACTGAAGAGAAAACATACCTTAAAAACAATAAACAGATTGTGTGAATATCAAACTAACTAGGTGTTACCCCTCTTCCACATGGAGACCTGGCATGTTTTAAAACTTCAGGTCCACTCGCAGGACCTGGTTCCATTGGTCACAGTCTCATGCCAGTTCTTGGATTGGATGAGAGAGGCCCCTTCCCATGTCAAGTTGGTCATTTTATATCATTTTCAGTTCTTTGTCAGGCAGTCTCTGGAACTAGGACAAACTAGAATACGCGATTTTCTCCAAGAATGAGACTTCTTCAGACTTGTTACCTACCCCCCTGCCCTGGTGATTTTAATTCCTGCAAGACCCTGCAACTCCCTCACTGGGCTAGAACACTATTACTAGCCCATAAAGCTACATATGACATTTATAAAGCTAATAAAGTGATCTTTGAATATTCCATGCTTCTACAGCTCATTTCACAGGTTGACAGTTCCTGATAGTTCATTCATGCTTATATGACTTCTCTTACTGCACTGCTTTCCTAATTTTAAGAAAGAAATTAAACCCTTCACACCAGCAGGTAACAATACAAGGTGAGAAGGGAAACCGAGTCACATTTTTTCAATAAAAATAAATCAGCAGTTTCCCAAATGGGAGCTGTGTTTTGAACATATTACGGACTATATAATGCTAAGTACTCTGAAAAATCAGGTCCTATGTGTGTCAGATTGGATACCCAAAATTAGTGGATACTTTTGACTTTATTGTCTGTGTTTTAGTTCCCTATCTGCAAAATGGGGATAATGATGCTCCCTCATCTCACAGGGGTGTTATGAAAAAAGACAGTACCCTTTGTGAAGCACTCAGATATGATAGTGATGCGTGCCATAGAAGAACCCATGCGGAAATTAATAATTCTGTCTTCATAACAGAGTTTGAATAATGTTTGGTAAATAAGGCCTGAGGCCACACACTGAACAACAAGGAGAAAATAAAATATTGAATAGCTGCTCAATAAATTAGCACTGTCCAGTCTGTGCACTGAATGGAGAAGGAAAAAATAACATGGAATCATGTAATTAAAGACTGTATCATAATGCATACACACAATGGGGCCAAATTAAGATTGCACAGGCCATCTTCATTCTGCATTTCCTAACTTTTGAGTAAATGACTGTGCAAACTTAATAATGTTATTTTAGCATAGTGTGTGTGTGCGGGGGGCACAAGATTCTGCATATCCTAGTCTTTTCCTCTAGCCAGGAAATCTCAGTCCAGGTGAATTTTATGTGCACGGTAAGAAGGTCCTGTGAGGATAGATCAGGGATTGGCAACCCTTGGCATGCGGCCCACCAGGGTAAACCCCCTGGCGGGCCGAGCTGGTTTGTTTACCTGCTGCGTCTGCAGCTTCGGCCGATCGCAGCTCCCACTGGCCGTGGTTCACCGCTCCAGGCCAATGGGGGCTGCGGGAAGACAGTGTGGTTGCCACCACTTCCTGCAGCCCCAACTGGCCTGGAGCGCCGAACCGTGGCCAGTGGGAGCCGCAAACGGCAGAACCTGCGGACACGGCAGGTAAACAAACCGGCTTGGCCCACCAGGGGCTTGCCCTGGTGGGCCATGTGCCAAAGGTTGCCGATCCCTAGGGTAGATAAATTCTTATAGAACTCCAAAGGAAAAAAATCACTATGGCCTTATGACTAATGAGATGATGACAGTCCTAAAGACACAGAGAAGGGAAAAGAAAATCCTTTACATAGGGAGCAGAATGGTATTCACCACCCCTACCCCAATTTTTAGTCTGCCTCGTAGACCTGGGGGAAAAAAAACAATCCTTTTGGCGTTACAATGTGCTCCGTTTCTCTAGTGTGTGAACATGCATGCTTATGTTTGCACACTGCTGTCCTGCATTGTACAGAATTAGATCTACCCACCTGTTCATCGATTCATCACTGTTTTGCCCACCAATGGCTGGCCTGGAAAAAGGCTATGCGCACTATTGCTACAACAGCAAACAACTAACAGAGTTTCCTCCTTGACTCAAGTGGCAGCAAGCCTCTCTGGAAACAAGGGTGAGAGTTCTTCTGAAGATATGTGTATGCAGTTAACTGACGACAGTACCACTTCTGTGTGTGTATTCAGTCAAGAACAGAAATGTAAGGACAAAGAATAAACAAGAAGCTATGTTCTGATCTCTCAGCAATGCAGCTCATGCTGCATCCATCATTAAATTCATTTTTATGGTCTATGTATTAAGCACCTATAAAACCAGAATGGAATGATGAATATTATTAATAATATTATTATTTCATGTCTTGTCTAATAATCTTATCTATCTGGAATAAGTTTGGTTTCACAGAACTTAATTTTCCACTTCAGCAGTGCTGTACAAGACTTTCAATACAACTACCTAAGATTCATTGCAGTCAGTGGTATCTTGCTATCTGGTTCAAATGATCACAGACAACTCCCCTAAAATATATTTTCTGAGGCCCACTGTGTAATCTTCCATCTCTATAGTTACAAATGAAGAAGAAAACCATATTCATGAATAACTTCAAAGGAGAGAAGAAATAAATACATTAAATGGGGGCAACAGAATTTATTATACAGTAGATAAATCCCATTGCACGACTTACCCAATACCCCACCAATTAGGGTAGGACACATGGTCCACTATGTTGTAGAATCTATTGTAATAGAGCGTACAGGCCATTAAGGCTTGCGAGAGGAACCCTTCTGAGCCCGCACTACACCTTGACACATTTGCATTTAAAAAAACCTGAGAGACAGGAGATGAAGCACAATGTGGCCTTAGTGGACCAGAGAATCCATCTCATTTAATTTAAGTCTATAAATCTCTTCATTTTATAAATAAAAAGTGGAGTTTTACCCAATAAATCTTGATGATATTAAAGTAGCCTTCAGAAGATATTTAGGCATGTATTTCACACTGCATATTGGAAGTATCATGCACGTGTGATGTAAATCCTTACAAACTTCTTTGAACTATAGTCCTTGCACATGTATTGCCTCTGCTTTTAGAAATGAAATCTCAGCTGACTGGCCATACTATATCATCATCAAATTCCACTTTAAAATTGAAACTATTTTTTAATCATCTGAGTGTAAAATGCAGCAAACTATCAGCCAAACCAATTTTTCATCACCTAGTGTACAATAAACCAATTTTATGGCCAAGCCAAAATAAATAACTGATTGACGTCAATGAAAGTTTTGCCCAAGGGAGTACTGCTTAGGTTGCATAGTATTGCAACAATTCTCTATAGTACCTTCCCATAGCTAACTGAATTATCTGTTATTAAGCTAGTAGAACTCACCTAATTCTTCCTACCTGTGAAAAGCTTTGTAATTTTATTTTAAATGAGACAGACTATAGAATTTAATAAACTTGAAAAGCAATACCCAAGTTTGGGAATGGTTACTGCCTGAATAAGCAATATTTATGGTTGACTTTTCCTTAATAAAATTCCTGTAACAACATGTCAGGGAATACTGAGTGACTGGAAACAGTTTATTAAATGTAATTTAAAATTCTGATTAGCCACCAAGGTTAATCCTGTTTTGGTGGTTGTAATTGTTAATCTTATTAACTAACTGTTGTGGCACCCTGGAGAAAAATAAAGTTATAATTAAGACAGCCATTTCAAAGCAACTCCTTTGTTACTCCAGACTCAGTCCCAGAATTATACTGCACAAGTACACTACTAAATATGATCAGTCAGCAACTATTACTTCTAAAGAACTAGAACATACCTATATGCCTATGCAATGGAGATAAATTGTCCCTTTACTCTCTTGAATGGTCTGCTTGTGCCATAAGCTGCAGTGCGCAACGGGAAGCAGGATTTGTAGAGCTGCTATTTCATCTCCAGACCATACAGGTAGTCAGGAGAGATCGGGGGCCAAGAACAGGCAGAGTCTTGGCTCCATGCCTTCTCAATGTGCCAGACAACACAGCTATGCCAGCAAACCAGATGACATTCTGGGGTGAATATAGGCCTGGCACCCCAGCAATTTAGTTCCTCCCCAGAGCAGGATGCTCTGAATCACACACTGCTTCTCAAGCTGTTCCTGGGGCAATGCAACTATGAGATGCTCTTTAAATGGGGCAGATTGTAAGGTGGCGGTATAGCCCATGACAATTAACTCTAGATAGAATTTAACTGAACACTGATATAAGCATACCAGGTTAATTATTTTATTATGCCAAAAAACATGGCAAAGATTTATATATCTGGCTATACGTACAAATGACTGCCATAAAGACAATGCCCTCTCATGGAGAAGCAACTTAACTGTGCTTACGCCCGATGATAATACTTACGCTGTGATTGATTATACTTACCCAAAGGGTCAGCTTTCCCATTCACGTCTGGAATGGTGAACACTCCCACGACTTTATGGCCCTCTTTCTGCAGGTGTCTATAGACTTCTTGACCAAAAATACTCTGACCTATCAGGGCTAGCTTTAGCTTACGTTGATAAGCCTGTCAACAAGAGTTAAAGCAAACTACATTTTAGGATGCAGAAGAGATATGTTGCTACATGTACTTCTGTCTTACTCTTTCTTAGCCAATGTTAGTTTTGATTTTTAAAGCAATAATGTCTTTCTGTCCCAACAATATAATGGAATAAAATAAATGATCCATTTTTCCACCTTGTTCATATAATCTACAATTTAGTAAGACCATACTTCTTTGCATACAAATATCACTTGGTATTGTTACTGCCTCCTTTATTATTTCATCAGCAGAAGTCTCTGCATGTACATGCACTGCTTGTTACAAAAAGGCGTAACAAAATCTGCAGTCATTATTCCTACCTATGATCGACAAACCATGAAATCTTATATTTGAAACAGACTCTTAGCAAAATCTAGCCATTCCTGCCACAAGTTTCTAGAATATGCCCTCTAACTTCTAATTTTTTCATCTATTATTCTTGCAGGAAAATTAAAATGTTTTCTAAGAATGACAAATGTCAATAGACTTGACACTATGTTCAATGTCACATTAGTTCAAAAAGAAAAGGAGTACTTGTGGCACCTTAGAGACTAACCAATTTATTTGAGCATGAGCTTTAAGCTCATGCTCAAATAAATTGGTTAGTCTCTAAGGTGCCACAAGTACTCCTTTTCTTTTTGCGAATACAGACTAACACGGCTGTTCCTCTGAAACCTGACATTAGTTCAAGGCACTCAAGGCATCTGTGGCTGAGCCCAGTTCCAAAGTTCTTCCCTCACATAACAGGAGATTTTTGTAGTACTGTCCACTCAACTCCTACTTCTTGTTCAGCCAATCGATAAGACAAACAAGTTTGTTTACATTTACATTGCTGCCTGCTTCTTATTTACAATGTGATCTGAAAGTGAGATCAGGTGTTCACATAGCACTGTTGTAGCCAGTGCTGCAAGGTATTTACACGCCATATATGCTAAATATTCGTATGCCCCTTCATGCTTTGACTTATACGTTCTAAAGTTTTATACCGATTTGTTTTTGAGCGCAGTTATGTAAAAAATAATAATTCTACATTTGTAAGTTGCACTTTCACGATAAAAGAAAAGGAGTACTTGTGGCACCTTAGAGACTAACCAATTTATTTGAGCATAAGCTTTCGTGAGCTGCAGCTCACTTCATCGGGTGCATTGAGTTGTAGCTCACGAAAGCTTATGCTCAAATAAATTGGTTAGTCTCTAAGGTGCCACAAGTACTCCTTTTCTTTTTGTGAATACAGATTAACACGGCTGTTACTCTGAAACTTTTCACAATAAAGAAATTGCACTACAATACTTGTATGAGGTGAACTGAAAAGCAGTATTTCTTTTGTTTATCTTTTTATAGTGCAAATGTTTGTAATCAAAACTAATAATATGAAGTGAGCACTGTACACTTTGTATTCTGTGTTGTAATTGAAATCAGTATTTGAAAACTGATAGAAAAACATTCAAAATATTTATAATAAATTTAAATTGACATTCTATTATTAACAGCGTGATTAATCACAATTATTTTTTTAAATCTTGACAGCCCTAAAAACAAGCAAACGAAAGTACATGTTTGTCGCAATCCTTCAGAGAGTGGGAAATAGTTTTGTCCTAGCAGCTGCAGCAGGAGTATTTTTAGGACTCTGCTCTCTTTAAATGTGCCATTTGAAAGTCAGGTGCAACTCCTGCTTCTTTCCCTGAAGGAACATCTCTAGGTTCTAGCTTCTCTCCTACCAGGAGATGCTGCCTCTTCATTAGGGAAGCTGGGACACAAGGGTACCACAACCAGTAGGGCCACCTGAGGTCCCAAAGGATTTGAACAGCCCATATGAATGTCTTACAAATCCTGTATGGATTAGCAAACATTCAGGTACCAAAAAAGATATAATACTTTGAAATAAACCAACAAACCATTTTATGATGAAGAGCCAGTTGCAGTACTTTTTGCAAATGACATGAAATGATCCATTTTAAAGCGTATTTCAGCTACACAGTTAGCTCCAGAAAGAGGTCTTAAAAATTGGTAGGATGTTCATGAATACAGGAAATGTTCATGAATTAGGAAAATTACTGTAGCACTATTTCGGGCCATAATATTCTCTTGGATGTGTGCATGCAACTTGCAGTGAAGACAACAGGAAATGAGTTTGGCCAAGGGTAAAATTTGTCTCATAGGTCGCAACAGTAAATAAAAATCCCCCTGTATTATAGTATCAGACAGCACTGGTGCAGCTGCAGCAGTGCTAAGTTGCCAGTGTGGATGGGAGTGGTAAAAATGCGAGTCTTGTCTACGTGGGTGTGTACACGGTTGCTACCTCCAGTACAGTTGTACTATTGGTGCTAACAGCTATAATAGGCAACACTATCTTGTCTTAGACAGACATTAACTTGTCTTAGTGTAGACAAGGCTTTCTTGTTTTAAATTACAACATGCACACATTATCCCTTGAAATTTTTATATCCTGGCAATGCAAAATGGACACAGATAAGTCTTCCTACCAGTGCTTCATCACCTCAGCTTCCGCTTTTCAGAAGCACAGTCTCAGTGATAAAAATCTCAGATTGGCTTTTTCTAACCATTTAAACGTTTATGAATTCTCCAGGCAAGTTCAAGAAGTGTTCACCTGCTGTGCTACTGAAAGTATCCGGTACAGTATGAAATCCACTGATTTCTATGTAATGTTAATTGACAATGGCAGCACCGTAGATGTGATGGAAAAAACATTAGAGAAAGTCCTCCTGATGCAAGTTACTTGTTCTACATTTGTTCTCTTGTTAACTGTCACTCAATAGCACCTCAAGTGCACAGAAGTAGTGGTCTTTTAGACTTGTATTTTTCTTTTTCAGTTTATTCCCCACTAAATAAGAACTACCAGCAAATGAAGGTAACAAAAAGTCCACAAAGATCATTATCATCCACAAATCATGACCAATTAAGTACCATCAGAAGAGTTAAACTCTTCCTTTCCTGAAAACAAAAAGTAAAAGTATGAGAGGCATACCTGAACGGCCAAATTTCTGAAGGGACCTTAACAGAAGCTAAAACTCTGCATGTATTTTTCTGTGTCCAAGTTTTTACATTTGCCAGCTTCTGCATTTAGGAGTCTGAGACTACAAAAACTCTGGATTCAGAGAGCAAACTGCAGCTGGGCTGGCTAACTTCCAGAATTGCCTAATTGCCTGTATGACTGCCCTTTATGCTTGGAAATTCACATTGTTTTGCATTCTTGAAAACTCACACAAGAAAAACTGCACCAGCAATTTTAAGTCAGTAAGTATGATCAAAGTCTAAGTAAATGGGGCTTGAAAAATATTTTAGAAATAGCACACTCATCTCAAAATATTAATTCAGAAGAGCAGTTTTGTTTCCACAGGTCAAGTTTTTAACAATATATATTCTATAATCATAAACTTATATCTCTACTCACTAATAATGTATATATACATAAATCTGATTCTTATGTTACATGGAGCTGCACACAAATTACAATTCCAGATCACGAGCTGCTGTAAATCAGGGTGTAGCTCCACTTCAGTCAATGGAGCCACATTATGTCAGCTCATGCTAGCTGAGGATCTGGCCCAAAATTGTTACTGAGCACAGATTTCTCTATGTTTAGCAGAGTTCTGAGCCAGGAAGTGGTTAGGGATAAACAGAGGACGCAATCTTTAAAGGAGCAGAGAATAAATATAAAGTGGTAGAACTAGTAAAATAAGAACACAGACTGTTCACACACGCATGCATCGTACACACAGACACAGTTACGTTTCTGCATTCTGTTGAACAAGAAGATTAACCTGACAACAAGCCAACTACATCATATCGCATACGTAGCAAGTTGATTGACTGAAAATGATTTTCCCAGCATGAGGGACATACAACTTCTCTATGACCAGCTATTCTTGAATAATTTCTCCCTTGAATTGGCACAAACATACTTTCCATTAACATTCAGTATGGATAATGCAATCCTGTATTGTATTGTCACATATATTTGTAGCTAGTAGAAAGTAGGAGCCAAATCACAAGTCCTCCATGCATAGAACTCCTATTGTGTTCAGTGGAGTCCCATACAAGAAGGGGATTGCAGGATCAGGCCACAAATCCCTTTCTTTACTTCTGGTTGCTTCCTTTTGTCCTATTTAAAAGTATCAATTAAGTGGCACAGCTGAGGATCTTACTGCAAACCTGTGTCTTGCTCTAGAATTGGAAGATCTTCTTCCAAGATCTTTAGGCTTTAAACTAGTTTCACCGGGGGAAGGAGACCAAAGCCCTGAGGTAAGTGGGCAAGCGGGACACTGGGAGGAAGCACAGGCAGGAACATCTGTGAGGGGAGGGCTCCTACCTCATACTGAGAATGAGGAGCAATCAGCAGGTTATCTCAAGTGCCTATATACAAATGCACAAAGCCTTGGAAACAAGCAGGGAGAACTGGAGGTCCTGGTGATGTCAAGGAATTATGACTGATTGGAATAACAGAGACTTAGTGGGATAACTCACATGACTGGAGTACTGTCATGGATGGTTATAAACTGTTCAGGAAGGACAGACAGGGCAGAAAAGGTGGGGGAGTAGCACTGTATGTAAGGGAGCAGTATGACTGCTCAGAGCTCCGGTATGAAACTGCAGAAAAACCTGAGTGTCTCTGGATTAAGTTTAGAAGTGTGAGCAACAAGAGTGATGTTGTGGTGGGAATCTGCTATAGACCACCGGACCAGGGGGATGAGGCTTTCTTCCAGCAACTCGTAGAAGCTACTAGATCGCACGCCCTGGTTCTCATGGGAGACTTTAATCATCCTGATATCTGCTGGGAGAGCACTACAGCGGTGCATAGACAATCCAGGAAGTTTTTGGAAAATGTAGGGGACAATTTCCTGGTGCAAGTGCTGGAGGAGCCAACTAGGGGGGAGCCTTTCTTGACCTGCTGCTTGCAAACCGGGAAGAATGAGTAGGGGAAGCAAAAGTGGATGGGAACCTGGGAGGCAGTGACCACGAATTGG